TGAACTTGTTTGTTTACACTTATAATCGCAGACTGTCATCACCTATTGGTTGTACTCCCTATGAGAAGAGGTTTGGTAAGAAACCTTACGTCAAGCACATGAGAATCTTTGGTTCTGACATGTGGGTCCACACCCCACAGAGCAGCAAGCTTGGGAACCGTGGGGCACATGGTTTGTTCATGGGGTATGAAAAAGGTGCATACAGGGTATGGATGACTGACTCTAAGTCCATTAGGTTCACAAAGAGTGTTGAGTACAATCCTAAGTGGGGGGGAAATGTGGGAATTTTCTAGAGTCACTCAGAGGAAGATGAAGATGATGTGAAAAAAGCAGAACTCAATGCTCTGTCATTTTCACTCATGGATTGTGAATGGTTGATGCAACTGTTTCAGGACATCAGAGTTTATGTGAAATGTCCTATACAAGTGTATCAAGACAATAGATCCTGTTTGGCTTTGCTGAACTCAGAGAGTTGCAAGCAAAGAACCAGGTACTTGCAGATTAAGCTACATCATGCAAGAGAGTGTATTCAGAAAGGACTCATTCAGGTGTCCTACATGCCAGGAAATGAAATTCCTGCTGATCTGTTGTCTAAGGTTGTTAACAGAGAACAACTTAAGGTTTATGTACAGAGGTTGCAATTGGGTTGAACCACAGGTTCTACAGGTTACACGGAAAGGGGGAGGATGTTAGGATATTTCCGTTCCACCTTAAAAAGGGAGCAGGCTGTTGTGTGTCACAAGCCTGCGTACTTCCTGCTCACATGAAGTTTCTGTTTTGTATATAGCTTTTGTTTTCAGTCTGTTGCCTCGACACGGAGGCAGGCAGTCATGTTTTTCCTTTGTTCTGACCAACGTTGAATAAATCTGTAGAATATGCTCTCCTGGGTTAATCTTTCATTGTGGAAACTCTGCAAAAAGGGCATGCACGAGTCCTGGAATGTGGACAGCTATTTCTGAGGCTCATGTCGCTAATTGACTGATACTGTTTCCACGGGAGATTGGGAGACGGCGTGGAGGCATGATGGCCTATGTCTCCCTGGCAGTATCCCAACAGCATCTTCATGAAATTTTCTTTCAATTGATAAGAAGCCGTAAAATTTATATTTCCCCCCCAAAATTTAACCCAATCTTTGTATTCAATTTCATAACCTAAATCTTGTTTCCACCTTAACATATTATTAGTTTTGATTTCTTGATCTGTTTGTACATTATTTAATAATTTATACATTTTTGTAAGTATTTTTTGTTTACTCTGTAAGACTTCTTTATCTAACTTTGATACAGTGGTACCTCAGGTTAAGAACTTAATTCGTTCTGGAGGTCTGTTCTTAACCTGAAGCATTACTTTAGCTAATGGGGCCTCCTGCTGCCGCTGTGTCGCCGCTGCATGATTTCTGTTCTCATCCTGAAGCAAAGTTCTTAACCCGAGGTAATATTTCTGGGTTAGTGGAGTCTGTAACCTGAAGTGTATGTAACCTGAAGTGTATGTAACCCGAGGTACCACTGTATTTAATTTTCAAACCCTCCGCTTTTTGTATCTTTTTCAAAAGTCGCTTTCAATTGAAAATATTCCAACCAATTTATTCCCATCTTTTTTAATTCCTCATAAACTTTTAATTTTGGTTTTCCATTCATTTCTTCCACTAACTCTTTGTAGGCTGGCCACAGTTTTCTTGCATTATTCTTGAGTGTCGAGGTTGTCTCTACTGGGGAGGTCCACCACAGAGTTTTTTCTATTATTTTCTGCTTTGTTCGCTCCCAAACTTCAAATAGAGCCTTTTGCACTAAATGATTCGTAAATCTTTTTTGTACCTGTATTTTCCCATACATTAGATAGCCATGCCATCCATAAATTCTATCCCAACCTTCTAATTCCAAAATCTCCATATTTTTAAGTAACATCCACTCTTTCAACCAGCTCCAACATGCAGCTTCATAATATCTTTTTAAATCTGGAACTGCAAAGCCTCCTATTTCTTTAGACCCCGTCATAATTTCAGATTTAATTCTAGCTTTTTTCCCTTGCCAAATAAAATTGGCAAGGTCTTTTCGGCAGTCTTTCAGATATTTAGTCCCTATTATTATAGGTGCGGTCTGGAAGAGGAACAGAATTTTTGGGAGTATCATCATTTTAATCATTGATACTTTCTCCCATAGCGATAATTTTAATTTATTCCATTTTCCTAAGATTTCTTTGATTTCTTTCCATTTTTTTGATATAGTTGTCTTTAAATAAGTTCATATTTTTATTTGTTATCCAAAGGCCGAAATACTTCACTTTACCTTCTATTTTTAACCCTGTTGTTTTCTCTAACTCTTCTCTGTCTTTCTCTCCCATATTCTTTGCCAATAGTTTTGACTTTTCTTTATTCAACTTAAAACCCGAAACCTTGCCGAATTCCTTCATTTTTTTTCTAGGGTTCTTTGAATACTTTCTAATGGTGCTTCCATCGTTATAATCACATCATCTGCGAATGCTTTTACTTTGTAGCAGTGGTTTCCTACATTTATCCCTCTAATTTCCTTGTCTTTTTTTAATGCTCCTATTAGAGTTTCCAGCGCCGTAATGAATAACAGTGGTGACAGGGGGCATCCCTGTCTAACCCTTCTCTCGATATCAAATCCCTCTGTAATTTCATTATTTATCATTAACTCCAGATAAGTCTGAGGCACTGTTAGTGGGTGGTTCCCTAGACCAGATGAGTGGGAGATCTCCTGCTTTTGATGGGATTACACTTCATCTGAAGGAGCAGGTTCATAGCTTGGGGGTACTCCTGGATCCTTTGCTGTTGCTCAAGGCTCGGGTGGCCTCAGTGTCCCGGAGTGCCTTCCATCAGCTCCCACTCAGAAGTGGTGGTGGTTTCACCAGCGATATGCTGCTGAGTGAAACCGACATCATGGTCTGCTCCTCATACTGGTCCTGGGCAATATATCGATGCATCGCCCAGGCCTAGTGAATACCCCTGTGTGTATCTTTGGCTCTCCGTCTGAGAGCAACTAGCTGACACAGAAACTTAAGGGGATACTCTGATTTGCACCCAAGTGTTTTACGTCAACATGAGGGCCGAGTTCCACATACTCTTCAACCCTTCCAAAGGTTTAAACAGGTTCCTTGGTAATCATATTATTTCTTTGTTTTCACCTGTCACTGTACTTGTACCAATCTCTCCCTGTCCCTTTTACCCAGAAGAAGGTTCAGAAACCGTGTGAGACAGTATGCTTTGATTGAGCAGGAAAATGGTGCATGCCCATATGTCACTATGTGTGTGTGTGCCCTATATAATCAAAATCACTAATATGAACCAATTTTAGTATTTTTTTTAATGGATTGGGTTTCAAGATTTGAAAACCATGGGGCCACATAAAATTCCAGTTGGATTTCCCCTGTAAATTAGACAATGTGCCCAAGGTACAAATTAGCCTTTTGCATCCCTTTTGGAGAGCAAGCTAACGACATATCCCTTAAGTGAAAGACCACAGCCAATGTAAAACTCCTACAGAAATGCCAAGGTGAATACATTTCTCTCAAGATAAGTCAACAGCTGTGCCAAATGGAAAGTTGCTTATGATAAATGAAAGCAAATGAAAGCCCTTCACAGGGATTCATAAAAAGGTGAATGCTGAGGAGTTAGGATGCGGAAGGCTAAATCTGCAATCTAGGGAACCAAGAAAAGCTGAAAATAAGAAGGATACTCCTTCCTGCTGAGTGTAAAGTATAAACCTTCAGATTAAGAAATGGAAAAGAAAGATGCCAATAACAATTGATAAGGAAAACCAAAGTTTTGAAAGAGGGAATTCATCTATTCCTCTCAGCTAACTTCTGCATAATGCCATTGTGTAATGTTATCCAGATGCTCTACTTCTCTAAAAAAACTATTTTTAGAAACCTGCAGTATGAGGACCTCTTCATGAACACATGCACACACCAGGACATCCCCCCACATGCATAAAGTTACACCACTTAGGGAGGATATGAAGTAGAATTTGAGTGCTTTAGGGCAGAGACAAGGACTGTTTTTCAATAACCATGCCTCCATACATCTGTTTTGTGCCACCCTGTGTCCCACCACATGTTCACAGGATGCACATAAAATAAGTTGAGTGGGAGAGCTGGGAAAAAAATCACATTAGGCAACAATGCACCACTTTGGTTCAGATAGCACATTGGTAGACAAGTCTAAAAAGCCCGGGGAACAAATTTTCATGGCCTTCTAGAGACTATAGTGGCTCCCGTACTAGAAGTAGTGTACTTAGGTTAAGAAAATTATAAACTGTCTCATCAGGGCCTGAGTGTTACATATACTTGAGTACAAGAAGTATCAGCCACAGTAACAAATGTACCAGGCATAGGCAAACTCGACCCTCCAGATATTTTGAGACTACAATTCCCATCATCTCTGACCACTGGTCCTGTTAGCTAGGGATGATGGGAGTTGTAGTCTCAAAACATCTGGCGGGCTGAGTTTGCCTATGCCTGAAATGTACTGGTAAACAATACATGAAAAATGGTGTGTGCCTGCTCAAACAGTGTCTCAATATCTTTGTAACATCAACAATAGATATTGATCAATCATCTATTGCCGTAACCTCTTTCCATGGTTCAAGTGTTACAATTATTCAGCATCCTCAACATGAAGTAGATATGGAGGATGATGACGACAGCATTCATATCCAGCAGAGGAACCAGAAAATTGTCAACTGCCTCCCCGAATCTTACACTACTTTTCCTGCAACTGGTAAAGTGACAAGGGACCTACGTTTGCCAACTGTTAATCCATGCTACATTGATCACAATCCTGCCTTCGCCCCAAGGAAGTTTTATATCCTTGGCTAAACTCTGTCCTGGAGAGAATGCATATTCAAGACACACAAAGAATGGAGGAAGTACCTTGAGTATTCTTTGCTGCTTTTCATGCAAAAAATGAACCTGGTATAGGGAAACTAAAATGTAATGCAGCATTGCTTCCACTTTTAAATGACAAAATTGCAACACCAGCAATGGTACGTCATGTTATGGATATCATAATAATGGCAACAGCTAAATTAAATGGAAATCAAATGTCTGTATATGCAATTGGAAAGGAACTGCAGTGGAAGTTTCCTGACAAGTATAGTGAGGATCACATTATATTCATGAAGTGTGGCCTTCATAGTGAAATGATGGTCATTAACTTACTTGGCAAGTGGTTAACTTGCAGTGGATTAACTGAATTAGTAACAACAATTGGAAATAACTGGTATTGTCAGTTCTGGTGTTGCAGAATCCTGCCTCACATTGCCATATGTGAAAAGATATTAATATGCTCATCAAGTTACTTTAACTGCATTACACTGTCTACAGGTACAGTGGTGCCCCGCAAGACGAACGCCTCGCAAGACGAAAAACTCGCAAGACGAAAGGTTTTTTCGTTTTCGAGTTGCTTCGCAAGACGAATGTCCCTATGGGCTTGCTTCGCAAGACGAAAACGTCTTGCAAGTTTGTTTCCTTTTCGTAAAACCGTTAAAACCCAGGGTGCATTGCTGGAAGAGGTGCAGTTGCGACTTGACCTCGAGGAGCAACACATTGCACGCGGTGTGGTGGCCTTTCTGAGCTTTTTAAAGAGTTTGCTGGATTTTTGAAGCTTTTCCAAAACTTCTTTTGCAGCTGTTTGGTAAGTTAAACTTTTAAAACTTTTTTGGGTTTTTGGATTTTGGGTTGGGGTGTTTAGAATTCAAGGACTTGGTGTTGGGGAGGGGTTTGCAAGAATCTGGGAGCTTGTGTGGTTTTTTCTGCATTTTTATGATTTTCTGTGACCATTGGGCCATGTTTATTTTTTTAAAAAAATCTGGCTTTGAATTTTTGAATTTCTGTGTGCTGGGTGGATGGGGAACAGCTGGGGAGGGGCTTTCAAGAATCTGGGAGCTTGTGTGACATGATTTTCTGTGACCATTGGGCCATGTTTATTTTTTTTAAAAAAAATATCTGGGTTTTGAATTTCTGAATTTCTGTGTGCTGGGTGGATGGGGGAACAGCTGGGGAGGGGTTTGCAAGAATCTGGGAGCTTGTGTGTTTTTTTCTGCATTTTTATGATTTTCTGTGACCATTGGGCCATGTTTATTTTAAAAAAAAAAAATCTGGGTTTTGAATTTCTGAATTTCTGTGTGCTGGGTGGCTGGGGGAACAGCTGGGGAGGGGTTTGCAAGAATCTGGGAGCTTGTGTGGGGTTTTTGTTGAATTTTTATGTTTTTGTGTGACCATTGGGCCATGTTGTTTTTTATATGAAAAAAAAATCTGTGTAATGAATTTCTGTGTGCTGGGTGGCTGGGGGAACAGCTGGGGAGCGGTTTGCAAGAATCTGGGAGCTTGTGTGGTTTTTTTTGAATTTTTATGGTTTTCTGTGACCATTGGGCCATGTTGGTTTTTTTTGAAAAAAATTTCTGGGTTTTGAATTTCTGTGTGCTGGGTGGCTGGGGAAACAGCTGGGGAGGGGTTTGCAAGAATCTGGGAGCTTGTGTGGGGGTTTTTTGCATTTTTATGGTTTTCTGTGACCATTGGGCCATGTTGTTGTTTTTTGAAAAAAATTTCTGGGTTTTGAATTTTTGAATTTCTGTGTGCTGGGTGGCTAGGGGAACAGTTGAGGAGGGGTTTGCAACAGTTGGGGAGGGGTTTGCAACAGTTGGGGAGGGGCTGGGGGAACAGTTGAGTTTTTTGAAGACTTTGGTGATTTTTAAAGCTTTCCCAAAACTTCTTTTGCAGCCATTTGAGGATTTTGAAGACTTTGGTGATTTGCAGCCATTTCGTAAGTTAAACTTTTAAAACTTTTTTGGGGTTTTGGATTTTGGGTTGGGTGTTTGGAATTCAAGGACTTGGTTCTGGGTTTGAATTGCTGATTTTTTTCTTTTCTGAGTTTACAAAGGTAACAGCTGTGCTGCCATGGGACCCAAGAAGACTGCTGCTGCTGCGGAGGCCGGCGAGAGGAAGAAGGAGAAGGTGACGCTGGAGATGAAGAAGGAGATCATCCGGAAGCACGACGGTGGAATGCGTGTGACGGACCTCGCCAGGGAGTACGGCAGGAACCCATCGACCATCGGGACCATCCTGAAGATGAGGGAGAAGATCCTTGCGACTGATGCAGCCAAGGGAGTCACCAGGATCGTGAAGAACCGCCCAGCTGTTCTGGAGGAGGTCGAGAAGTTGCTGCTCATCTGGTTAGAAGAGAAGCAGCGTGCAGGGGACACAGTGACTGAGGCCGTCATTTGTGAGAAGGCCAAGGCCTTGCACGCAGACCTCATCCGGGAACAGCCAGGAACCTCGGCCGAGCCAGAAGTCTTCAAGGCAAGCAGAGGCTGGTTTGACCGGTTCAAGGCAAGATCCGGAATCCACAGCATGGTCAGGCATGGAGAGGCTGCCAGTTCTGATGTTCCTGCGGCTGAAGACTTTGCCTTGGAGTTCCTGGAGGTTGTGAAGACGGAGGGCTACGTTCCACAGCAGGTCTTCAACTGCGACGAGACCGGGCTGTTTTGGAAGAGGATGCCCAAAAGGACTTTCCTCACACAGGAGGAGGCCAAGTTGCCTGGCCACAAGCCCATGAAGGACCGTCTGACCCTGCTCTTCTGTGCCAACGCAAGCGGCGACCTGAAGATCAAGCCCCTGCTGGTGTACCACTCGGAGAACCCACGGGCCTTCAAGAAACACAAGGTCGACAAGGAGCGGCTGAGTGTCATGTGGCGATCCAACAGCAAGGCTTGGGTCACACGTGTGCTGTTTGTGGACTGGGTCAATCTTGCCTTTGGCCCTGCTGTCAAACAGTACCTGCTGGACAACGACCTGCCGCTGAAGGCTTTGCTTCTGATGGACAATGCTCCTGCTCATCCTAAAGGCCTTGAGGTGGACTTGTTGGAGGAGTTCAGCTTCATCAACATCATGTTCCTGCCGCCTAACACCACGCCACTGCTCCAGCCGATGGATCAGCAGGTCATCGCCAATTTCAAGAAACTCTACACCAAGGAGCTTTTCAGGCGATGCTTCGAGGTGACTGATTGCACCACCATCACCCTGCGGGAATTCTGGAAGGACCACTTCGACATCGTCACCTGCTTGAAGATGATCACCACGGCCTGGAACGGGATCAGCCAGAGAAATTTGAATTGCGCTTGGCGCAGCCTGTGGCCGGACTGTGTGGCACCAAGTGACTCTGATGCACCAGAGTCGACAGTGGTGCAGGACATTGTTGCCTTGGGGAGGACCATGGGCCTGGAGGTCACAGAGGAGGACGTCTGCGAGCTGGTGGAGGAGCACGACCACGAGCTGACCACCCAGGAGCTGGTTGAACTGCAGTCAGAGGTTGCGCAGGAGCAGGCCTCGCTGGAAGAGGAGGAAGCAACTGAGGAACGGCCGTCCTCCAAAGAACTGAGGGACATTTGCCAGAAGTGGAAGGAGGTGCAGGCTTTTGCAGAGCGGCACCACCCTGACAAGCACGTGGCACATGACCAAGCGAACACTTTTGATACGACGGTCATGTTGCCTCTCAGGGAGCTGCTGAAAAGGCGGATGAAGCAGCAGACCATGGACAGGTTCCTCAGCAAGAAGCAAAGAGTGGAAGAGGAACCTTCTTCGAGTGGTCCCCAGAGTCTTAGAAAATGTAATGTACCCTTTTTGATTTTTAAATGTTTTTCCTGTCATGGTTAGAAACGTAAGTTATTGTGCCTGCCAGTTTTGATATGCTCTTTCAAGTATGTGTGACTTTACAGAGCAGTTAATAAACTCTTGTTGTACCAAATTTGGCTTTGATTGGACTTTTTTACCATAGGAACGCATTAATTGAATTTCAATGCATTCCTATGGGAAACCGTGCTTCGCAAGACGAAAAATTCGCTAGACGAAAAAACTCGCGGAACGAATTAATTTCGTCTTGCGAGGCACCACTGTACAAGCATTCCACAAAGCATGTGAAACAGATTCCACCATCAGTGACGTAAACATTGAACTATGGATTACGTGGAAAACATCTGAATGTCCTCAGTTCCAATATTGGAACACAATTATTGAACCCAAGTCCCTGCTAGTACAACTTATATTAAGTATTCACACATCTAACTTTAAAATGTTTGTGGATACTTTGACTCAGTTATGCTCTGAGTCCCATAAAAGGGGAGTTGGGCTGTTAAAGGCACCCCCCCTATTTTCTGGTAATACACTTTTCTGGTAACAATACCTGTTACCTTCTCATTTGTAATAAAGGGTTCAAAACTAAAATTCATTTTATTTCCCTAAAAAATAAAACAAAAACCACCCATCTTCTTCATGCTTCTGGAGTTTTGTCAAGAGCAGATTCTGCCTTCCTACCTACCCTCACAATGGCATGATAAAATGAAACGCAAAATCAAGCACTCAATGCATTTGGTTGTCGGTCTCCTTCCTCTCCCGTTTTCCTCCACTGCAGTAAATGAAGGAGCCTTCAGCTTGCTTTTCTGCTCCAGCTCCCTTTCTCTCCCCACTAATGGCACGAAGGCATGGGCACAGCTAACTTCATTAACTTTGCTACGCGTGCTCAGAACACTGTCGGGAAGGGGGCGGGGCAAGTGAAAGAAGAACGGTGCGCACAAGAGGTTGATGTCCGCTCCTTTGTGACGTTTGTTTTAGCAAAGACTGGTCGCTAGACTATTGGGGGGAGGGGGAGAAGGGATAAAGGGCGGGGGGGGGGGATGTGCGTGTGGGTTTGCGAGTGAGCAGGCCGCTCGCTCTCTCGCTCACCTGCAATTTCCTAAGCTTAGCCTGTGATTAGTGCAGGCCTCGGACCTGGCGAACCCCGGAAAGCGGCAGTCAAGTCCTCTTTTCTCCACTCCTCCAGCTCGAGCAGGAGCACGCCAAGCGAAGGTGAGGAGTGGGTGGGGGGTGCTCAATCGCGGAAAGGGGATTGTTGAAAATTTTAATTAATTGTTTTTTAAAGGGCGGATGTGTGGGAGAGGTGCCAGGCTGCTTAGGCCCCAGAACAGGCCCCAACGCCTACCAACACTCACGTAGCACACCACTTTTTTAAATTTACTCCCCGCTTCACATGTAAACCCGCTCGGGCTTTACAACCAGAGGGGCGCGAGTGTGCGTTCGGCTTTCTACTCCGCCGCGCGGTTCGACCTAGCACTGTAGCTGTCCCCGAGAGGCGGCCAGAAAATGGCGGCAAACAAAATGGCGGCTGTCAGAATCGGCGGCAGAGATAACAGAGAAGCACAGCTTACAGAGGCCTTTTTCTTCCTCTGCCTTATTCAACTTTTAGAAAACACACACCTCCCCCCGAAGTCTTCTAATAGCCAGTGGTTGTAGCGCCAGACAAACCTCGCTTCTGCGCCTTATAGTACTGTGGGATGTTAAAGACAAAACGGAAAGGGTGCAGGGGAAGAAGGAAGCGCCGGCGGTGCAGCTGTCAGGGGAGTTGTCGGCTGAAAACTCCTTCCTCTTTCCCCCGACAGCCTACAGCTGATGGGAGCCTTCGTCGTCATGTCTTATCTCAGATCCCGCGCGAGGCATCGTTGGCTCTTTGCCTTCCTCGGCCGTGCAACACTAGCTCTGGGAAGGATGGGTACAACCCCACCCCCTTTTGCCCTACCCGCGCTCTAAAGAGCCGCTTTATTGTTTGCCCGTCACGGGCGCTGATTGGAAGCGAGGGGAAGAGGAGCGTTTTGTGTGTGTATATAGAAATGCGGGTCTCCGCCTCATTCAAGCGCAAGGTTCACCATCCCCTTTATTGAGTAGCCGCCACCTTGGAAGCCTTTGGAAAAAAGAATTTACGTTTTGAGCCCCACGACTTGGTTTGGGAGAGCTCTTTCTAGCCAGAAACAGTCTGACCCCTTCTGTGTGTTTACATTTAAGTTTTGTAGGGACTTGCCCATGTGCTTTTAAGTTTGCAGTGGTTTGCTGCCTTTACTTGCACATGTTTACCAAAAAAACCCCAGCTTAGTCTTTCAGCTTCTTTAAGATTAAATGCATCTACTGCATAAACTTTAATAATATAGACTACAGCCTACTTCATGAGGACTTGGGGCACATACAACCTGTATTTTCAAAATTCAACTTTTGTTTGTTGGCCCACATGCAAACCACCACCACCTCTAAGCACCACCTCAACTGCCTCTCCCGATGCAGGTGGAACAGAGAGATAGAGCTGGGTGACATCTGCATATTGATGAAACTTCATTCCAGATCTCCTAATGACAGTTCCCACAGGCTTCAGAGCATGAGGGACAAGATGGAGTCCTGTGGGACACCACAGAGCAACACCCATGGTGCTGAACAGTAGCCTCCCATTACTATTTTCTGAAAATGGCCCTGTAAGTAGAATTGGAACCACTGAAGCACAGTTCCTCTGAGCCTCTCCAGAAGGATACTGTGGCCAGCAGTATCAAAAGCTGCTGAGAGATCAAGGAGAATGAGTGGGGTGGCACACCCTGCATCTCTCTCCAGATAAATGTCATAACTCATTGTTATCAAGGCAGTTTGTACCATGAACAGTCGTAAAGCCAGACTGGAATGGAGCCAAGTAAATACAGTTTGCACACACTGGGCAATTGAGCACTGCATTTGCAGAAGAGTGAAAAAATGTTTTTATTTTAATTCTGGGGAACTTAAAAGTGAGTTAAAATGCCTATCCAAGAGACTTAAGAAATTCATGTGTTTGATGTCATTAAGAAAGTGCTAAGTTTTTTAAAAACAGAACCCCAAAATTGTAATGTGTTGTCTACTACAGCAGCAAAGGATTTTGACAAAATATAAAATGAGTCGGTACAATGCATAAACTGAATTAATGTAGTATTATGGTACGTACTGATATGTAATGGATTTTCATAATCTATTAAGTTCTAAACATCCTGCAATTGGAAATGGATATTCAGAAGTGAATCACAGCTATTTCAAAATAATAATTTACAGGAACGTTTACAGGAACCTGAGGTGGTCTTTTATTACCTGGTGGTAGATTATTGCTCCAGCCTTTTCTTGTCGCAGTAGTCTTATACACCTGTTACACCACTTTTTACTATTCACACTAAATGTGTAAAAACAACAACAGAAATCCTTAGCTGCCAAAAATTGTGATTATAAAATTTAAATGAACCTATGGTATGGTGTTCTTCACAGAAGGCTTTTTGTTCCAGTACAGTCTTCATGAATGGAAAGAAGGGAAGCCATTTTCGCCATTTTCGCTTCCTCTTGCAGCCCTCCTTCCCCCTCCCACACTGTTCCAAAGGGTCATCTAACCTTCTGGAGTAGAATTGTGTGGAAGTTGAGGAGACTGCAGAGGGAAGGGTAGTTGGCAAAAATTGCTTTCCACCATTTTCTGTTCATGAAAGCCTCCAGTGGCTTGAAAAGCCTTCAGTGAGTGGTGGAACACATTTGGATGCAACTCACTTAGTATTTCTACCTGGTAGGGCTGGGCGATATCTGGTTTTCAACATCACAATATATCACCAGCTAAATATTACGATATCTCGATATATCAAGCGCTATATATCTGCAGCGGCAGAGGGCCTTGCTCAACCTCCCTGTGGCAGCAGAGGGTCCCAATGTACCTCCTCACAGCGGCAGAGGGTGTGCTGCACTTCCCCGCAGCAGCAAAGGGTCTTGACGCGCCTCTCCACAGTGGTGGAGGGTTCACCGCGCTTCCCTGCAGCAGCAGAGGGCTTTTCTGCGCCTCCCTGTGCCGGCTGAGGGTCTCACCCAGTGTTTTAAACTCCCATTGTTCTAGGTGCATTTTGCGACAGGGAATTTCATTAGGGTGAGCTCTGGGTGCAGTACTGCACCTAAGATTTCAGATAAAAACTGCACGGTGGAAGGAAAGGAGGAACTGGAGAAGAGACCCTCTTAAGAATATTAGGGGGGGTGGGCTAAACCATGTGAAAAATGAACATAAAATTTTAGCTGCAGTTCATTCATTTTCAGCTTTGTATTCTTCTTGTTAAAAAAAAGTGTGCCTGGACATTCCATTGTTATGCTCATAACCTAGGTTGAAGGTGCCATTTAGCTCCTAGCTTTCATATCTCAGTTTCTAACACTGGTCCCACCATACCTCCCCAAAGTGGTGAAGGGTGTGCCATGCTTCCCCCCAGCAACAGAGGGCCTTGCCACACCTCCCCTTGGCAGCAGAGAGTCAGGCTATACCCCCTTGCAGCAGGCAGGGGGTGCACCACGCTTCCCTGCAGCAGCTGAGGCCCTTGAGGCTCCCTGCAGCGGAGGAGGGCCTGAACATGTAAGGAAGTAGTAGATTCAATAAAAATATTAAATAAACTTCCATATACTATACCATATTGGCCCGAATATAAGCCACACTTTTTCCCCAAATTCCAATTGTGAAAAGTTAAAAGTGTGGCTTATATTTGCGACCTTACGGTATCGCTGCTGAAACAGCGGCTCACGAGGGCCGTCGGGGGTGCAGGATAACTGTGCCCATCCCATCTGCGTCTCCCAAGCCTCCCCCGAGCCACTGTAAGGAAGGGGGAAGGGGGGAGGCTGCAGCAAAGCGGCACTGCTCCCCGCCCCCCGGAATCAGCCCCTGGGGCAATGGCACACAGCCCGCCCACCTCTGCCAAGTTTCCCCAGAGCTGCCGTAAGGAAAGGGGAAGGGGAAAGAAGCCCGGGGGCATGGGGCAACGGCGCACAGCCTGCCTGCCGCTCCCAAGCCTCCCTTGGGGAGGTAGTGCCACGAGGTGGTAGTGTTGGGAGGTGGGCACACTGTGTGCTCGGAGCCGATCGTCGGCTGCCCCCCATTCAGGGCAGTAGTGCTAGGAGGCAGACACGCAGCACGCTCGGAACCAGACGCCAGCTTGGGGAGTGGGGCGCCCATCGCCCCCCCATCCCCTGTTCAGTACAGTAATGCCGGGAGGCGGGCCACACCCACAAATAGGCCTTGAATTTTAAAGGTGCGGCTTATTTGTGGGTGCGTCTTATATTCCAGACAATACAGTGGTACCTCGGGTTACATACACTTCAGGTTACATATGCTTCAGGTTACAGACGCCGCTAACCCAGAAATATTACCTCGGGTTAAGATCTTTGCTTCAAGATAAGAACAGAAATCGTGCAGCAGCGGCAGCAGGAGGCCCCATTAGCTAAAGTTGTGCTTCAGGTTAAGAACAGACCTCCAGAACGAATTAAGTTCTTAACCCGAGGTACCACTGTACAAAGTTGCATCTGCTTCCCCACTCAGAGGTCTGAATAGAATCCGCATGCATAAGCCTTACTGAGATCAACTAAACTTCTACTTTCCTGGGAGTAAGCCTCATTGAATCCAGTAGTGCTTGCTTGTGAGTAGACACACATTTGCTTTCACTGCCTACGGAAAAACATCCTCCCCATCATTCTCACATAGTACCCAACCTCCCATTTCAGCATAAGTGTCAGGCTGCCAGGCAAGGCTTACCTTCCCCCTCTCTGTAGATAACAGCATGAAGCGAAAGCAGTCTTTTGCAGCAACAGAGAGAGAGGGAGAGGGGGGCTCCCACCATTCTTCCTCAGAGCAATACCCTTCAGTCTGGTTCCTCACATCATCCCTCCCTCTAAGACTCTCCTCCTCCCACCCCTCTTGTTTGGGTTTCTGGGGGTGTCTCGCATGAAACATTTTTTTGCAAATCAGGTGCATGCACATGCTCTGCATATTCCCATGAGTGCTTGGCTGGTCCATAACCCTTCCACCCAATCAAGTACTGTAATTCTTTACGTTGCTATCGAGAGTCCAAAATCTGCTCAACTTCATAATCTTCTTCTACACTTCCACTACAATGGGAGGGGGAGGAGTTTCCCTAGATGTCTGATACGGATGCACCAACACCACTGGGGATAACATTGACCTGTGGAACATGGGGTGAATCTTCATAGATGAAGGTATTTGGAGTCTGAAAGTCACAGGCTTAATTTGGCCTGTCACCTCAAACGGACCCACTCTCTGATGATCTAATTTCTTACATCTGCCTCTTTGCGGTAGATCACATGTTGACAACCATACCTGATTCCCAACTTTTATCTCCCTACCCGGTTGGCGGTGAGCATTTGCTGCCTTCTTATAAGCCTCTTTAGCATAGTTCCACTGTTCCTCCAGTAATTCCTGAATGGCTGCCAACTCCTCTAAAAATTCTTCCGTGGCAGGTACTGACAAGGTGTCGGTTGGGGACGGGGACGCACGAGGGTGGTAACCGTAATTTGCAAAGAATGGGGTTTGTTTTGCTGAAACATGCAGGGCGTTATTATATGCAAACTCCGCTAGAGGAAGCTTGGTTACCCAATTGTCCTGCTGGTAATTAACATAGCAACGTAAGTATTGCTGCAACGTTGTGTTCCTTCTCTCTGACTCTCCGTTCGTTCCTGGATGCCTGGCCGAGGAAAGGCTTATTTCCACTTTGAGCAACTGCATGAGTTTTTTCCAGAACTTTGAGGTAAATTGGGTTCTGCGATCTGAAATCACTTGACGGGGAAGTCCATGCAAATTGAACACATGATCTACAAACAACTGTGCTGTTTTGGGGGCTGTTGGGAGTCTTTTATGAGGCACGAAGTGGGCCATTTTTTTGGGGGGAGGGGGAATCCACCATCACCCAAATTCCTGTCTGTTGCTGCAACCTTGGTAGATCAGTTATAAAATCCATAGCAATGGTTTCCCAAGGCTCTTGAGTGGTAGGTAGCAGTTGTAGTAAGCCCGGTGGGGCTTCCTTGGGTCTCTTTGCCTGTTGACACGTTTTACAAGCTTGCACATAATCCTTTACATCTTCTCTTACCCTTGGTCACCAAAACTGTCTTGTCACATGGTATAATGTTTTGTACTGACCAAAGGGACCTGCTGTAGGGTTGTCATGACATTGACGCAGAACGGTGGCTTTAAGGTCCCCTGCTGGAACGTAGAGAGTCTCACCCTTGTACAAAAGTCCTTCTTTTTCTGAAAAACCCTCAATATCATTATTATCTCCCTCCAGTGCCCTCAATTTGTCTCTGGGAAAAGCATCCTCTCTTGTCTGCCGCTGAAAGTCTGTCTCGTCTCTCACTAATCCTGCCACCAACTGCAACTGTTTCGGTGTCAAGATATGCCTGTATACCAAGACTGATTCTTCTTCCTGGTATTCAGGTTTCCTTGAAAGGGCGTGCCCCTTGTTTCTGGCTCCCGGCCACATACTTGACTCTGAAGTCAAACCTATCAAAAAAACTGCCCGTCAAATTTGCCTCAGATTCAACTGTTTCACCGCCTGCCAACATTCCAAATTCCAATGGTTCATGTGTACTTCTACCTGGTGCAGAGCTCCCTCCAGGAAATGTCTCCACACTTCAAAGGCTTCCTTGATTGCCAAAAGTTCCTTCTCCCAAATTGTGTAGTTCTTCTCAGAAAGGTTCAGCTTTCTCAAGTGGAACACGCACAGCTGAAGGTTGCCCTCTATGTCCTCTTGTAGCAGCAGCACCACTACTGCCCTATCTGAAGCATCCATCTCCACTATTAGTGGTTGATGAGGGTCTGCATGTGCCAGATACATCTCTGAAGAGAACATGGTTTTTAAACGTTGGAATGCCCATCGCGCATCATTTGTCCACCGGAAGGTTTTTTTTGCCCCTGAGGCAATCAGTGAACGGTGCAGTCAGTCTTGAATAGGCAGGCACAAACCTACAATAATAGTTGGCGAACCCCAAGAATCTTTGTAAGTCCTTCTTTGTTTTGGGTTCCTGCCACGACATCAAGCAATATATACATTTTAAAGGGCTAGACTGATTATAAACAATGAACTGTCAGAACCTTTTGACATTTCTAAAGGGACAAGGCAGGGCTGCCCACTGACTCCCCTTCTCTTCATAACAGTGTTAGAAACACATTTAAAAGCAATTAGGGACGACCCAAAAATAGAAGGGAATAAAATCTGAAAAAGATCCTATAAGGTCAAGGCTTTTGCAGATGACCTGATAATTACAACAAAAAACCCATTAGAAAGTATTTTAAAACTGTTGGAGAAAATGAACGAATTCGGCCAATTATCCGGTTTCAAAATCAACAAAGAAAAAACATATGGTGAAAAATTTGGACGCACAAGAAAAAGTAGAGTTGGAAAAAGAGACAGGATTAAAAGTTATGAACAAAGCCAGATACCTAGGAGTTTGGATTACTATGAAAAACATCAATCTTTATAAGGATTATTATATAAAGGCCTGGAATGGTATAAAAAAAGAGCTAGAGAGCTGGAATAGATTAAAACTGTTGTTATGGGGGAGAATCTCTACAATTAAAATGGTAGTCCTTCCGAAAATGTTGTTCCTTTTTCAAACCATTCCAGTTATTAATGGACTTAACTGTTTCAAAGAATGGCACAGGTATTTGGTTTTTATCTTTATCTTACATTTGGCAAGGTAAGAAACCCAGAATAAAATGTAAATTATTAACAGATTTAAAAGAAAGAGGTGGCTTCGCTTTGCCAGACCTTAGGTTGTATTACGAAGCAGCATGTTTTGTATGGTTAAAGCAGGCATGTCCAAAGTCTATTTCGGGGGTCTGATCCGGCCCGCCAGTCGGTTTAATCCAGCCCATGTGGCAGTTTATTTCCTAGGGTAAAATCCTAAAAAAAACCTCAACAAACCTAAAAAAGCTCAACATCTTTGCGGTAAAATCAGGAAAAAAAGCTCAACAACATCAATCCTGAAAAAAAAGGTCAACAACGGCTTTTCACTGGAAAGGATTGGATGATCTTAAAGAATACTAATTTACTGGATATAGAAGGATGGGACAATAAAGTAGGATGGAGGTGAGGAAAGAAAGAAGAGCTTTCCAGTTCTTTGTTTATCAGGCTGTGCATAATTAGCTGAGCTCTAAGTGGAAAGATACCAGTGAAGCTGAAAAAGTTTGCTGGTTTGTCTAAGGAGTAATCATCATTTCTTATTGGTGAGGAGGGAAAGAGGAAACAAAGTTGGAGACACAGTGCCTGCAATATCTGTAAAGTATCTTCAGCTGAGCCCTGAGAAGCTGTTAAGTCTCCACCTTTTGTTCACCAGCATATTGCCTTGTTTAAGCACTTACCATGATGTTATTTCAATACCATATTCAATGATACGGCGATTTATTAAACAGCCCTACTATCTGGGTACTTACTACTGTGTTCAGTACAGTTGTACCTTAGCTGACGAATGCCTTGGCAGTTGAATGTTTTGGCTCCCAAACGCCGCAAACCCGGAAGTGAGTGTTCCAGTTTGCGAACGTTCTTTTGGAAGCCGGACGTCCGGCGGGGTTTCTGCGGCTTCTGATTGGCTGCAGGAAGCTCCTGTAGCCAATCCGAATCCGCACCTTGGAAGTCTAATGGACTTCTGGAATGGATTCCATTCAGCTTCCATGGTATGACTCTATAAATAACATTGTGTTAGGCTGCAATCTGAAATAGATTTGCTAAGGCATTTGCCTCCCTGAACATAGTGGGACTTATTTATCAGTAGACGTGCTTAGAATACCACTATAAATTGAAGTGTTACTCATTTATAAATGTTTGTAGGTTGGTTACGCTATTATTTGCAAATCCTGTCATCCAAATAGCAACTGAGTCTACTTTCTTATTCCTCAGCTGGTCTGCTGGTAGGTACACAGGAAGCCACCTTATACTGAGTCAGACATTGTTCCTTCTAGCCAGATATTGTCTACACTGACTGGTAGCAGCTCTCCAGGATTTCAAACAGGGTTCTCTCTCTGCTCTACTAGGAGATGCTGGGGGTGGATGCTGATATTTGCGCTTGTTGTGAAATCTAGTAATAAGATAACTTTACATGTGCTTGCTAAAGAGGCTTGCATTGAAGTCTGTATTAAGTGCTAAAGCATCATTCTAAGACATTTATCTTAGTACAAGTAGTAATTTCTATATACTTTTCTTTTCACAGTTTGTGAATGAGCATAGATGATTATGGATCCAGGTGGTGGAAGTCTTGGGTTGCAGACAGAGGAATGCAAAATGCCTCACACCATGATTATGCAGGATTTTGGTAAAACGAACTTTCATTTTTAACTCATGCTTGTTAATCTTTTGCAGTGTATAATGAATAAATAACCTGTGGCATAGGTGCCAAACATGACACAGGAAGTAGGCATTTCTGGCACTACTAAGCAGGAGCCTGAGGACGTAAAGGCCTGGCTGTAGCACAGGGGTTGGCTGGCATTCTTGACAACCTGTTCTATGTTGCACTGCTGCCAACTTGCTGCTTTAGTAGACCAGAGGCTTGAGGGATGTGTATGGATTGTAACACACACTAGAGTGGTGCTATCTTTACTTTGAGCTTGCCAAAAGGATGCCCAAACAATTATTGTTTATAATACTACTGTATTTATTTTTTGAAATAATGTAAGCTTCAGTATTGGATGGCAATTGAGAGTTAATTTTTTGTTTTAATTAATCATATTCTGTATACTAGGAGAGCAATCCTATAGTAAGTTCCACTGGGATGATCCAGCTGATTTTCATCCGAGTCAGGAGGTTCCCAACACAGCCAGAGATACATTATTGTATCTCTCCCAGCTCAGCCAGAACCTAGCTGACTGAGCTGAGCTCAGCGGATCTTAAGATTATTTATTTACTTAGTTACCAACCTTCTTCAAAAGATCTCAGCGTGGTTCATAAGATAAAAATACAAGATAAAAGCATAACTAGTTAAAACCAAACAACAAACAACAGCTCCCCCTCCCACAAACACATTTAAAATGCTGTGCAAAAGGGTATGACGGAAACAGGCTCAGTGAGCTCTGTGTGTGTGTGTGTGTGTACGTACGTGTGTACTTAGAATGGACCAGATATGGCTATCAAAAAACTGCCAGCCTAACCTATCCTCTCCTTCAGAAGACAATAACATGAGCTACCTATGGGGATCTTTTGAAGCTTAGTAGCTCAGCTATCATAACTTCTTAAAACTATAATTAAATGTATTGGAAGGTAGAGTAGTTTACCAGACTGTATTTGTAGTAAAAAATTACGTCTACACCACTTTGTTTGTTACCCAGGTGAGGGACCACCTTTTAAATAAAACATGGAACCAAGGAAATTAATTTAAGTCCAGCATCCAGGAGGAACCCAGCTTTTATTACAGCTATTGCAATAGGGCAGAGCTCAACTTAACATGGTGGTTCTATCCAGTTAAGAAAAAGGTGTGCTACGAGGAGCATCAGAACAAGAGTTTTATAGACACAGCACACAGAGTCATAAAACATCAAAATATAACATTGTTAAATTTTCTACATGCATCAAGAAAGGTTACAGGTCACGAGATGGTAAATACACAATACAAATGCAGCTGAAATTGCAACTTACACTGGCTTCTTCAGTCTCACTATTATTCAACCCCTTCATGGCAAACGTCTTTAGTACTTAGTAGAGGAGCCTTTTGCTGCTACAGCCTACTGCAAACTAGATGCATTGCCAGACAACAGCTTCTGGCAGCGTTCCTGAGCTTCTGCACATGTGCGAGTGCTGAAACCCAGAAGTAACCCGTTCCGGTACTTTTGGGTTCGGCGCAGTGCGCAACCCGAAAACATACAACCTAAAGCGTCTGTAACCCGAGGTATGATTTGCAATATTCTTGGGTTTGTGTGCTGCAACCGCCTTCTTCAAATCCACCTGAGATTTTCTATGGGGTTCAGGTCAGGTGACACTGATGGCCACTGTAGAAGCTTCCAGGACTACTTCTGCAACCAAACCTTGGTGAAATTTGAGGTATGCTTGGGACCATTGCCCTGTTGGAAGGTCCAGTGACACCCAAACTTCACCTTCCTCACAGACAGCATGATGTTTCCTCCTAGGATTTCCCAATACTTCAATGAATCCATCCTGCCTTCCACACATTGCAAACTGCAAGTGGCAGAGGATGCAAAGCAGCCCCAGAGCATCACCGAGCCACCACCATGCTTCACTGTAGGCAGAGTGCTCTTTTCAGCGTGTGCTTCATTCATCTTCCTCCAGACTTAGCGCTGATCCATGAGGCCAAAAAGTTCCAATTTTGTTTCATCGCTCCACAGAACAGAATCCCAAAACTACTGTGGCTTATTTATATGATTTTGAGCTTATTGGAGCCAACTTTTCTTGAGCTTTTGGGTCAGCAGTGGTGAACGCCTTGGAGTTCTGGCATAGAAATGTTGGGAAAATGCCCTGGGGTGCCCCTGCAGCCCCCAAACTCTGAGCGTCCTCCGGTAATTATTCTGATAAAAAAAGAAAGAAATGGATCCAGAAAATCAGTTTTTTCCAAAAGCATCTGGATCTGGTCTGTGACCACTCAATCCAGAACCTTGTCCAGGACAGGGAGATCAGCAAGTGGCTGGTAGTTAGGTTTTCCAAATCCAGGGGAAGTTTCATAAGGAGTGGTTTTACCACTTCCTCCTACAAACAGGCAGGGACCACCCCCTCTCTTAAAGAGGCATTGATCACTGGATACATCCGTCTCCAAGAGTGGACCTTCCTAATAGATCCCCCGCCTCTGTGGGGGGGGGGGGAGAGGTGCTAACTGTTGGGAAAACGCCCTGGAGTGCCCCTGCAGCCCCCAAACTGAGCGTCCTCCGGTATGCGCAGCTCTGGAAAAGGCATTCACCTTCTTCAGTGTGCTTCAGCTACATATATCAACTGATATATGCACACTAATCTTCTGGCATAACACAGCAAGAAGAACGAGACATTGTAGAGCTAATCTGCGTATTTATTTACACACTACATACAGACAAAGGAATTATTGCATCCTTTCTCTCCAGCTCTGAGAGAACAGACAGGTCAAAAGCAAAAGTTCAGTGTAACAGTACACATAGCGGAAGACATAAGACTGTCTTCCGTTCTCACACTCTTCCCAGACAGGCATGTGAATTATACCAATCACATCTGCAGCATCGGAGGCATGAAATACTAACAAGAAATATGCGCCTTACTGTGCTCACTGAAACATCACTGCCTGCTACCACCAAGTCTTGCTGCAGCTCTTTTGCAGTCACTCAAGTGTTTTTCCCAGCCTGTCTTCTCAGAAATGTGGTTTCTGCTGCAGTTTGCTTCCTTTTTCTGCCCCATCCAGGTAGTGTAACCACCGTAACTTTGAACTTGGAAACTCTGCTTCCAATGGTGTCTTTAGGAACATTCAGTGCCTTCGCTGTGTTCTTGTATGCTGCTCCTTGTTTGTGATGGGTGATGTTCTCTTGAACCATTCTCTTGACTTAGCCATATTTCAAACATGCATCCACATTTGACACTCTGCAACCCCCTAGCCGGCTCAGGTATTTCATGTGTTGCCCCTCAAGTACACCTGGTGCAACTAATGAAGCCCTTGATTCATTGCATCAGGTGTGCTTGAGACAACACCTGTTGTATTTGTGCTGTTGTGAAGGTTTCTATTCAGGGGGTTGAATAATAGCAAGACTAGAGAAGCCAGTATAAGTTGCAATTTCAGCTGCATTTCGGGAAACCACTTGAAGCATCTGTTGTGTGGAGCTATTTCAATTGCTTTTGTTTGATTCGCTCACTGCAAACAGCTGGAAGTCTGTAAATTTTGATGATAAACATGATTTGCCATGGGGATTGAATTGCAACTGTATGTATACTGCCATCTGCTCCACCGCAATTACCTTTGGGTGTTCCAAGTGCCCAGACCATTTGGGCCTCAAATGTTACATTTCTATCACGGTTACCCTGGCAACTAGGCCTTTGGCAGGGCTGTTGACATTCCTTTCTCTATCTCACTTTCCTTGCCTCACCTATCTCCCAGGAAGCTTCAATGATATGTTTGGATTTACACTCCAATGTTAATTAGAACAACATCCTTAATGATCGTTTGTGCCACTTTCAGGGTTAGATGGGGTTTCTTGTTTATGGCCTCGAGCACAGGGGTTATAAAACGTTATAAAATGTAGGTGCACAGGAGCCATATATAAAAACTATTCAGTGATGTGTTCTATCTTTCTGAACTTTAAATGTCATTAATATTTGAAACAATTAAATCAAAATATACACCCTGGGTCTCTGATTCTTATGTCATATTCGTAGGATGTATTTCGTAGATGCTAATTGTTATGCTACAGCAATGCAACTATTAATGCTTTATCTCATTCACAATTGTTTCATAGTGGCTGGAATGACTGGTACTGCTCACATTGATGGAGATCATATTGTTGTGTCAGTTCCTGAAGCTGTACTAGTTTCCAATTTTGTCACAGATGGGATCACCCTTGATCATGGCTTAGCCACTGAAGTTGTCCAAGGACCTGATATCATAACCGAAACTGATGTTACAGAAGGGGTGATAGTTCCTGAATCTGTATTGGAAGCTGATGTATCTATTGAAGAAGCACTAGATACCCGTGATCATGTTTTGACTTCAGATATAGTAGCAGAAACTGTTGGCGTTCCTGATGAGGTTTTTGTGGCTGATCTTGTTACGAGTCCTGATGGACATTTGGAACATGTGGTACAAGATTCTGTGTCAGGATCTGACTCTCCCACAATGGTTTCAGAAGAGGTTCTTGTAACCAATTCAGATACAGAAACTGTGATTCAAACATCTGGCACTATTCCTGGTTCTACAGTTACTATAAAGACTGAAGATGAGGATGATGGCAAGAGCACATCAGAAGACTACTTAATGATATCTTGTAAGTTAAGTAAAGGTTTATACAATATTTGACTAATCAGACTAGAAATGATCCAATGATGAGAGGCTATGAAATATAATTGGTTGTGAGTATGATGTATTTTCCCAGTAAAATTTTGGCAGAAACAGTGTTATGCCAGTCGAATAGTCAATACAGCTTAAATGTGGTTTGTAGTAAGTAAGTTAGTGTACATAAATCCACTCATATCCCCTCACTTATGGAAGACTGTTGGATCTAGCACAGGCTTCCATGGCCCAGAATGGAAGTGAAGGGATTTCTGCAAATTTTCCTTTCTCTGACAGTCACACACACTACATACCTCACTATTCCAAAGGGTTCCCCAACTCTTTTGAGCTGATTTTGGAGGGCTTGTAGGAGATTGCAGAGGAAAGAGTTGAGTTGGCTTCCTTCTGTCTTGGGAGACAATGGAGGAGTCTGAAAAAAATGACACTGCCCTACTTTCCACTAAAACACCTGCTAAATCGAAGAGCCTTCTGTCACACGTGGCTCTAATACAACCCATATAATGAGATTTTGTTTTCACAGTTAGAGGTCCATGGGAATGATGCATCAGTCTAGAGTATATACATTCTGGGACCCATGGGAGCAGGACTTAATGGAAAACGTTATGAAAGAATCTCAAGAACACATATGACATAGCAGATTTGATTATTCCTAGAGCTCTTTAGCACACATTTCCAAATGGAGTACGTTACTCTACATTTTTAAAGGTTTTTTTCTTTTTTAAAAATCTAGATTTTATAATGACCTGTTTCAGGAAATTAATGGCAATACATAAATTGAAGCTCAGATACTCAATAAAAACAGCAGATTCTTATGGGACCTTAAAGACTATCAAAGTTACTGTGACATGAGCTTTTGTGAAATACCATTTATTTTATCAGATATAGGAAGTGTTATCAACTGCATGTGTGTTTTTCTGTGTGTATATATATATTTACACACACACTGTTGGGTTGGGGGCACGTGTGTGTCGTGGGTGAAAGTGAGTGTGTGTGTGTGAGAGAGAGGTATGTGTTTGTTTTATACATACACATACTATCTGACTGCAACTCAGGATAACACTTCAAACATCTGATGAAGTGGACTGTAGTCCTGAAAAGCTTATACCATAAGAAATTTGTCCTTAAGGTGCCGTTGATTTTGCTGTAAGAGATGTGACACAAATAACATAAAACATCTTTTGTTTTTGTTTTTCAGGTTTGTGATGTTCAAACACCCACAGTGGATTGCTAGCTCTTGATCCTTATGATGGCACTGCATGTACATTACTGATGATCCTTCTTTCTTTTCTTCTTTGGCTATCACTCGTAACCGAGTAAGATTGTGTTCCATAAACACAGTTTTAACAATGAGTCCGTAAGTGGCTGTGGAGGCCATTTCTGGATCCACACGTCCTTCCACAGTGGGGACATTGGTTTCCGGGTGGGAGTTGATCACGGTGTGGGTTTGCCAAGCGTTCCTTCCTCTTAGCATGTTTCTCCCTTGCGTCCTGAGTTCGACTGTCTTCAAAGCCCCTGACACCTTTGGTAAAGGCTGTTCTCCAACTGGAGCGCTCGCAGGGCAGTGTTTCCCAGTTGTCAGTGTTTATACTACATTTTTTTTAGATTTGTCTTGAGACATTCTTTAAATCTCTTTTGTTGACCACCAGCATTAAGCTTTCCATTTTTAAGTTCGGAATAGTGTAGTTGCTTTGGAAGACGATCATCAGGCATCTGCACATGACCAGTCCAACGAAGTTGATCTTTGCTTCTTCCAGTACCCTGGTATTAGTTCGCCTGTCTTCCCAAGTGATGTGTGAAATTTTTTGGAGACACTGTTGATGGAATATTTCGAGGAGTTGGAGATGGCGTTTATAAGTGGTCCATGTTTCACAAGCATATAGTAAGGTTGGCAGTACAATAGCTTTGTAAAAAAGCATTTTGGTTTCCCTGCGAATGTCCTGATCCTCAAACATTGCAAACATTGCACTTCAGTCGGGAGAAAGCTGCACTCGCAGAACTCAGGCAATGCTGGATTTCAGCATCAGTGTTGGCCCTTGTGGAAAGATAACTGCCTAGGTAGGAGAAGTGATGGACATTTTCCAAGGTTACACCATTGAGTTGGATTTGTGGTGCTGCAGAGGGGTTATTTTGTACTTGTTGGTGCAGCACTTTGGTTTTTTGGATGTTGAGTGATAGGCCAAGCCTTTCGTAAGCTTCTGGAAAGATGTTTAGGATGGTTTGGAGGTCATCCTCTGAGCGTGCGCACACTACGTTGTCATCAGCATACTGAAGCTCTATGACGGAAGTTAAAGTAACTTTACTCTTTGATGATCCTATACTACCCACTACAGAACCACACTGGAGCTGTCTTTTAGGGGTAAGGTAATATTCCATTATGCTTATTACAATATAAGCAATATATTGGGCAACTTTTTCTTGGTGCTATTCCATTTCCCCTAGCAAGTCTGCCTTAATTGTAGTAGAATTCCACCACCCCAGTGATATCATTATGACAGTCTTGAAAGGTAGTGGAGTTTGTAACTAGCAATGTGTAGAACAACATTGTTGCTCCTGCTGCAGATCACATTTTCAGAAATTATTCTGAGACTCATAATATGCTATCCACATCTGGCATGTTGGCCAGAAGTTACCTAGCCTGTAAAATGGCATTGCTTATTTTGCAAATGTTATGAATTCATTCCTTTATTGTTTCCTATGAGATAGATACTAGGGAAGGGGTTTTCCCCCAAAAAGAAATAGCACAGCTGTAGAACTATAGCACATATCTCAAGGGCTTCTAGGATGGGTGTGATATCACCAGCATAGTACATGCTAAGACATCACATAAACTGGGAGCTGGCAATCTACAGTGAATCTGAACATCTCACACCTGGAAACAGCCAAGAAAGGTAAGTTAGAGGTGGCAAATAGTATTTTTCTTGATCTTTGGCAAACAGGCATTTCTGCAGCATTTATCTTCTAAATAATCTCCACAATTCATAGAATTGTATAGTTGGAAAAGACCCCGAGGGTCATCTAGTCCAAACTCTAATGCAGGAATCTCTGCTAGATCATACATGACAGATGGCCATCCAACCTCTGCTTTAAAAACTGGAAGGAAGGAGAGTCCACCACCTCACAAGGGGGTCTGTTCCACTGTTGAGCAACTCTTACTGTCAGAAAGTCAGAACCTCCTTTCTTGTAACTTGAATCGATTGGTTCGGGTCCTTGCCTCTGGAGCAGTGCCATCCTCCATGTAACAGCCCTTGAGATATTTGAAGATGGCTATCGGATCTCACCTCTGTCTCCTATTTACCAGACTAAATATACCTAACTCCTTTAACCGTTCTTCATAAGGCTTGGCTTCCAGACCCTTTATCATCTTGGTTGCCCTCCTCTGCACACATTCCAGATGGTCAATACCCTCCTTAAATTGTGATGCCCAGAACTGGACACAGTATTACAGGTGTGGTCTGACCAAGGCAAAATAGAGTGGTACTATTACTTCCCTTGATTGGGATACTACAGTGGTACTTCGGGTTAAGAACTTAATTCGTTCCGGAGGTTGGTTCTTAACCTGAAACTGTTCTTAACCTGAAGCACCACTTTAGCTAATGGGGCCTCCCGATGCCACTGCGCCGCCACTGCATGATTTCTGTTCTCATCCTGAAGCAAAGTTCTTAACCCGAGGTACTATTTCTGGGTTAGCGGAGTCTGTAACCTGAAGCGTCTGTAACCTGAAGCATCTGTAACCCTAGGTACCACTGTATACTTCTTTGTGCTGAGCGCAACAATATGATATTGATAATTTGCATTAGCAGTAATTTGCTCAGTTTTTTCTCTGGGCTTACTGTGTGGACCAGACCAGAAAGTAATAGGCCCACAACTATCGAAAATCAGGTAAAATTTCTAGATATTCTAAATGACTCTGTCTAGAAGAGTTGGTGTTGGAATGAACTTGGGGGGGGGGCAAACCTGCACTTAATCTTGAATGGTGCCCAGGATGTAAGTATTATTGAGCCAGTTTGGAGCAGTGGCCATAGTGCTATTAAATTAAATAAGCATGCAAATGGCCAGTTGCCAAAAAAATCCAACATGCTCACATTTGATTTCAAAAGAGGATACTTCCATTAAATGAGGAGACTGGTAAAAAGGAAGCTGAAAGCCAAAGTCAGCAGTCAAATCACTCCAAAACGCTTGTGAGTTGTTGAAAAATACACTATTAGAAACTCAATTGGCATGTATAGGGCAGTTGAGGCAAGGTACCATGAGGGCCCAGGAGACACCAGCATGGTTAATGAGCAGTCAAAGAAGCAATTAGAGGAAAGGCAGCTTCCTTCCTTTGGGTCATTAGTGGTGTATGCCTTGGAGTTCTGGCATGGAAACCAGTGTTAGAAACATATGAAATCACTTCCAGTCTGCTGCGAAGGATATGGAACTTTCACAAACCATCATCATTTGAGACCTTGCAAGTACATAAGTACAATTTAAAGAACAATGTTTCTTCTACTCCTTTTCTCTAAAAGACAATAACAGGAAATTGGACTGGCCTAACATATTTATACCACTTCACTTTCTCTGCCTTTTGGAATATTAATGAACTATTTCTCTCTTTCACTGCACAATATTGTATTTGTATATTTTATATTTCTTGATCTAATGGAAATTTGGGGTTTGTTTTTTTACATTTCCCTTTTGCTTTGGTGATAAAAGTATTTGTTACAGTGTGGTGGGGAGGGAGAAAGCAGACAAAAGGGAAAGGGAAACCAAGAGAGATCGGGGGGGGGGGGGTCAGTCTCAAGGCTGAATAGACTCAGAGCCTGCAGGTGTGACCTTGATCAATTCACACAATACTGGGAACCAACAGATAAGAAATGTCTGGAACAGATAGAGTAACAACAAGGAAAGCGACTGCTTCCGCTGCTGCGGCAGCTACTAGATGGACCGGCGTACAGCTTGGTGACAATGGGGATAAGGGAGAGAAAGAACAGACAGATCTTTTTGCATTGTCAGTGTGGTGTAGTGGTTAAGAGTGGTAGACTCATAATCTGGGGAACCAGGTTCGTGTCTCCGCTCCACCACATGCAGCTGCTGGGTGACCTTGGGCTAGTCACACTTCTTTGAAGTCTCTCAGCCCCACTCACCTCACAGAGTGTTTGTTGTGGGGGAGGAAGGGAAAGGAGAATGCTAGCTGCTTTGAGACTCCTTCGGGTAGTGATAAAGCGGGATATCAAATCCAAACTCCTCCTCCTCCTCCTTGTAGCTTTACTGTGAATCTGACATGTACTAATATATTTTCACTAAAGACTTGCTGTAAAAGGGAAAAAAAGTGTTGTTGTGTTGATGTAATCCTTTCAGTAAAATTGGTCACTAGAATAATTTGTTGACCCATCTAGTTGGGATGTACTTAAGGTATGGTAAAAAGGTAAAGGGACCCTTGACCATTTGGTCCAGTCGCGGACGACTCTGAGGTTGCGGCACTCACCTCGTTTTATTGGCCGAGGGAGCTGGTGTACAGCTTCCGGGTCATGTGGCCAGCATCACCCTTTGGTTACATCAGACTAAATCCATGCAACTATTTCACATTTTAAAGCAGTATATAGGGAAAATAAATTTTAGCACCACTACCTACTGTATGAACTCTAGACAGCAAGTACAGTGGTACCTCGGGTTACAGACGCTTCAGGTTACATACGCTTCAGATTACAGACTCCGCTAAACCAGAAATACTACCTCGGGTTAAGAACTTTGCTTCAGGATGAGAACAGAAATCGTGCGGTGGTGGCGCGGAGGAGGCCCCATTAGCTAAAGTGGTGCTTCAGGTTAAGAACAGAATGAATTAAGTTCTTAACCCGAGGTACCACTGTAGTGTCTAAACTACACCTTACAGTTCCACATTTAAAAATTACTAATATAGATTGGATTAGGGCTGGGTGATGTCAGCTTTTCAACATCGCAATGTATCACCAGCCAAACATTTGCGATATGACTATACATTGCAATGTTGAAAAGGAAGGGATGCAACAGACACACACAGCAAACTAGGAAAGGGGAAGGACAAGCACTGTTTCCCTGGTTTGCATCACTCGCTAACCTCCCCAGTGCCACAGTCCCTTCCCCTCAGGGCAGCCTATTTCCTGAGGAACAGATTTCTCCTCTGGGCTCCAGTGTGTTCCTGCTCAAATTCACCGCTCCTTCACCACCTGCCTGATTCTCTGGACGCCTTCATCCATCAACCCCCCCAATTACCATTCCTTCACCCTGCCTGATGCTCCACGATCCTCCACCCACCCACCACCACCCCAATTTCAAGCATCCTTCACCTATCCACCCAATCTCAAGCCCAGGCCAGGGGCTCTTGTTCCTCCTGCCGGACACTGAGGGCGGAGGGACTTGGGAGCAATGGTGGTTTCACTCGTGGTATACCGCCTGGTGAAGCCTCCACCGTGCTCTGGCCCTCATATCGCCCAGGCCTAGATTTGATATTAAACTACATTCTAGAAGTTGCAATTACTATATTCAATTAAAATACCCTATGCATTGCACACATTTTGTCACTGGATTCAAACTTGTCTGTTCAAGTTTTAATTTTGTGTAGTATACACCTCGTGAGTCGGGGATGATGATTTTAGGATACTAGTTCATTATTATATCACGTAATTTAAAACTGCTGCCTTTCAGACTGGAGACTGAACAATTTTTAACATGAGTTATTTATATATATAAAAAGGTAAGATATGCTTCATGCACTTTTATGTGCTACAATAATACTGTTACAAATATTTTACCTGAGGGTACTATTTTTATGATCAAATATCTTTCCTGGGGTTCCTCTTCCTCACCCGTGCAGTTATGTTAAAACAAACACTACTATGATAGAGTACAGTTAGATAGGATAAGTGGGCAAGAAATGGTGGAGAATATAATTACACTTGACCATTGAAATACTTGAGTTACTGTCATCAACTCAGAGACTTAACATCTCATCTCATGCAATGCTTGTGCACTGAAGCTTACACAGGCTGGGTGCAGTAGAACAGATACAGGTAGATCTCTTACTTGAGGGTTATATTCCTGGCTTATCACACATCTAAGCAAAATTGTGCAAAACCAGAACAACCCCTGGAACGGCCCTGCACAACCATCTCTACCTTTCTAAAGACTTTCTAAAGTGCTGAGTGGGCATTGCTCCCCATGCAAGCTGGGGCTCTGGGCAGGTCACATGAGTCCTCTAGAAGGCTCTGCAACACTTCTGCAAGATCTCACAGGGTAGTCTGAGATATCTCAGGACTTTCCAAGAGCCTAGAAAGCAAGATGGGGGAAGGGTTACTTAAAAAGCTCTTTCCGTGGTGGAAAAACATGGTGTTGGAAAAAGCTGCTTAAGCCCACTGTCTTGCTTACCAGGCTCTGGGAAGCTCACATGAGGGCTCCTGTGAGTTATCAGATGGCCATTCTGGGTGGGACGGGGTTCCTGGTCTCTCACCCCTTTTATTTATTTAATTTTCTGGTATCTGCATAAAGTTGCGATCATATCGAATCCAGTGACAAAATCAGCTTAATATGAGCTCTATGTGTGTGTGCATGAATTCAACAACCTGATTCACAAGTCATGGTAAACCAAACTATGGCTTACTAGGCCCGTGTAAATATGTTAGTTTTTAGAGAGGAGTGTGAGGTTTGGTGCTTACAGGGTTAACATCTCTGTGTGTCCTGCATCTGGGGAGGAGCCTTCCCAACATCCGGGAAAGCTGAGTTCTTCGTCTGTGAGGTACTTTCACTTTTCTGCGGAGAGAGGCAGAGACATCATGTCTGCTGTTTCTGATGGAGTGTTTGTTATTTTATCTGTCTGATGTAAATAAATCTGTCTAGTTTAGAAGAACTACAGCGTGTGGACTGTCTCTTCACTCACACGTCAAGCACTCGCTGTGCCCGCTCTGCTACAAGTCCGGGAATTCTGTTGCTGTGGAAACGTACTGGACCGGTCAGGTTATGGCAAGTTGCCAGCCACGTTTGTGCTGAGTGTGAGGAAGAGAAGAAGTGAAGTCCAGCTCTGAGATCCTGTCTGCTGCTGTGAAGGGGCAGAGGCAGTCCTGATAAGAAGTGAAGTCCAGCTCTGAGATCTTGTTTGCTGCTGTGAAGGGGCAGAGGCAGTCCTGCTCTTGCTGGTGAAAGCAGGAGCCTGCTGGAGGAGGCATCTTTGAAGCAACCGGCTGGCAGAAAGCGTGAGTAAGCTTATAGCCCCAGGAAGATGACTCAGGCTCAGGAGGCTTTCACCGTCCCTTTTGAGAGATTGAATGGGCGCAATTGGGAAGACTGGTTGAGGAGAATTAAGTACTGGCTTTTGGGCAAACAGCTTTGGGATTGCATGCAAACCCCACCGATCCAGGCTGCTGCTGGAGCTGCTGGAGTGAAGCAGACGTGGCAGCTGCTCTGAAGAGGGATCAGAGTGTGCTGAGCATGCTGAGGCTTAGCGTGGACGATTTGCTGTTGCCCCACCTTGAGGGTCTCAAGATGGCCCAGGCCACTTGGCAGGCACTGGAAAGGGTTTGTGAAACCACAATGGAAGCCAAGGGCCGTGAGGGAGTCGAGGGCCATGTGGGAGCTAAGGGCCACGTTCCTGGAAGCTGTTTCTATGCTTCGGCGCATCTTTGTGATGAACAGGAGAAGAGACAGAAAGGTGGGGGGCGAGCAGGCGCTGGCTGTTCCTCTAGAAGCTGTGCACCGAGGAGTGGAGGTGCAGGGAAAAGCAATGAGGAATCTGTGAAAGTGTTTGCTTTGAGACGCTGCTACAGATGTGGGTCCCCCTCCCATCTCGTGAGAGGCTGCCCGGTAGAGACTCAGGAATGCAAGGTCAAGCAGATTAGCTCAGCGCAAAGATGTGGGAAAATGCACAAAAGTTCCAAAGGAACTGCGAGCAAGTACAAGTCTTTGCAGTATCATCTGGCAGCTTCCATGGCAACAGTCAAGAGCTGTAAACAGGACGCTGTGCTGACCTTCGTGATTGACAGTGGAGCATGCCATCTGGTGGGCTTCTGCGGGATTGTAAGGCTGTTAAAAATGGAAGAACTGTCAAGTTGGCAGATGGAAGTCGACGTGCTCTGATGATGTCTGGCTCACTGTACTGTCCTTTCTTGCAGACAAGATTCAGGCCTTTGTAGTTCCAGAAATGTCCAGCTGTCTTCTATCCGTCACTGCCCTCGTTGCCGACAGTTTCAGCGTTCGTTTTGAGAATAGCGTGTTCTTTTTCCAGGGGTGGGCATCAACTGTTCAGTGTTGAATGCAAAAACAGGCTGTTTGTGGTAGAAATGCCTGTTGCAGGTAACAGTCCCACTGAGTCAACACATGTGCAGTGTGCCAATGTTCCAACACATGATGGCTGTCAACATTTGTGGCATCGACGTATGGCACATGTGAATTGGGGTTACGTTAAGAAGGCCCCAGGGTGCACTGAGGGGTGCAAAATAAAGGCATGTGATAAGTTTTTAGATTGCAGAGCTTGTAAGCAATCCAAGGTAAAAACGTGCTCATACCCCTGGTCTAGTAGGGTGACAACCAGGCCTTTTGAGCTGGTGCGTGCAGACTTGTGTGGCCCTATGCCAGTAGCCAGTCTGGCACTGGGGATGGTCTAGCTGGCCCTAGTGGGTCAGAAGGGGTACCGGAGCTCACACTAAGATGGTCAACCCGGGCCATGAAAGGTAAACCACCTGACAGGTTTGAGGCCACAAGTGTATGTGTTGGGGTGGCTCAGTGTGAACGTGAAAGTTTTGAGGATGTTCAGAAACTGCCTCAGGAAGAAGCCAGCAAATGGCAAGAGGCGATGCAGAAGGAGATGAGCTCAATGGAGTTTCTAGGTGTGTTCTCCCTCACAACATTGTTGGCTGGCAAACAGGCTGTGAGCAGCAGGTGGGTTTATTGCCTTAAACCCACGGAAACTGGAAAACCACAGTACAAGGCTAGGTTAGTAGCCAGAGGGTTCACGCAGCGGAAGGGGCTGCATTACACTGAGGTGTATGCTCCTACTTCCAGAAGTGAAACTCTGCACACGCTCTTAGCCATTGCTGCACAAAGAGGTTTGCAGGTGCATTACTTTGATGTGGATGTAGCCTACTTGAACTCAGACCTCCAGGAGGAGTTGTACATGCTTCCTCCTCCAGGGTTTGAGGGCAAGGGGCAAGGCATTGTGTGGAGATTGCACAAATCGATTTACAGTTTAAAACAATTGGCCAGGAATTTGTCTGAATGAAGCCTTAGAGAAGCTAGGTTTCAAGAGGAGTCTTTCTGACAGCTGCCTGCAGCTTAAAGGGTCAGGAGAGTCACAGGAAATTGTTTTAGTCTTTGTTGATGATATAGTCCATGTCTCAAAGACAAATAGACAGGTAGAGAAGTTTGCCAAAGAGCTTGGTAAACGTTTTAAACTTAAGAACCTGGGTGCAGTAAAGATCTACCTGGGCGTGGAGATTTTTAGAACTGAAGATGGAAGTTACTTGCTCAGTCAGAGAAGCAAGATTGAGCAGTTGCTTGAGAAGTTCAGGATGTCTGAATGTGCAGGGGTCAGGACACCCATGGAGACAAGCTACGTGAAAGACAGTCAGCAAGTGGAACGCACTGAGTTTGAAAATGCTGACCTCTTTCAGTCAGGCCTGGGTAGTCTGTTGTATCTGTCCCAGTGGAGCAGACCTGACATAGCTTTTGCTACCAATCTGCTCAGCCGGGAAGCTACAAACCCAAGCCTAGAATGGTGTCAAGCGGGTGCTGAAGATACCAAAGACTTCTGTCTCAAGCTGTCAGCCAAAGGTGATGTCAAGTTGACGTCCTGGGCAGACAGCGATTGGGCGAATCTGGAGGACAGGAAGTCTGTTTCTGGTATGGTGGTGAAGTTTGGGGACTCTTTGGTTGGGTGGAAGTCCCAAAAGCAAAGTCTCATAGCACTCTCCTCTACTGAGGCTGAGTTCAGCGCGCTGTCTGAGATTTGCAGGGAATTGGAGTTCTATGTGTGCTTGGTTCAAGAGATCTGCGGAGAGTGTTGCTTGCCTGTCACGGTTTGGGAGGACAATCAACCCTGTCTGAAGTTGGCAGAGTCTGGGCAGTTTAAGGCCAGAACCAAACACCTAGACATCCGTTTCCAGAATGTGTGTCAGAGTGTTCAGTTGGGGTTAGTGGAACTGAAGTACTGTCCCAGTTCGAAGAACCTGGCAGATGGGTTCACGAAACCGCTGACCTTCCAGCGTCATGGGGAGTTCTGTGAAGGTCTATGTTTAGAGGTAAGTGGTCACACTTACATTCCCCCAGTGCAGGACAAGAGGGGGTGTGAGTTTTGGTGTTTACAAGGTTAACATCTCTGTGTGTCCTGCATCTGGGGAGGAGCCTTCCCAACATCCGGGAAAGCTGAGTTCTTTGTCTGTGAGGTACTTTCACTTTTCTGCGGAGAGAGGCAGAGACAGCATGTCTGGAGTGTTTGTTATTTTATCTGTCTGATGTAAATAAAGCTGTCTAGTTTAGAAGAACTACAGCGTGTGGACTGTCTCTTCACTCACACATCAAGCACTCGCTGTGCCCGCTCTGCTACAAGTCCGGGAATTCTGTTGCTGTGGAAACGTACCGGACCGGTCAAGGAGTTTGCACCTACTTTGCCCCTCCTTGGTCTTTTCAGTACAGAGCAGCATCTAAACCAGTGTTTGGCTTAGCATGTCATCTGAACCCAGGATCATGGTTAAGATTACAGATTGTAGTTAAAGAGGAGAGACCTTCACCTCTCTGGTTCAGAAAACATGCTAAGTCATTGGTCACCAGCCTTTTGGTCTGGGGGCTCAAATTTGGAATTTTAAGGACACAAGTCAGAAAATGGCTGCCGCTTCCAAAAGAGCAGGAAAATCAAAGAGACATGAACATAAAATGGTTCAAACATAAAAAAAATCTGTTACATTTTATGTTGTTGTTAGCAAATAATGTTTAAAAGCTTTCATTTGCAAACGCTGTTACGTTTTGGCTGTTAACGTTGTTTGTTGCTGGTGTGCTGTTGTAGATTAGAGCTAGAAAATAAAAGATAACTGAATCCAAGCATGATTTTATATTACTGCAGGCAGTCATACACCTGCATCGTCACAAATAAAAAGACATACCGTATTTTTCGCTCTATAAGACACACCAGACCACAAGACGCACCTAGTTTTTGGAGGAGGAAAACAAGAAAAAAAATATTCTGAATCTCAGAAGCCAGAACAGTTCTGGCTTCTGTGCTAGCTGCGCAGCCTGCATTCATTCCATAAGACGCACACACATTTCCCCTTACTTTTTAGGAGGGAAAAAGTGAGTCTTATAGAGCAAAAAATACGGTACTTAATGCTGACTGGCAAGTTGTTGGTCTTTTACTAGTTTCATAGAGTAGAAAATAATGTAAATTCTTTTCCACCAAACAGATCAGTGGCTCCTGGTAGATGCCGCTTGTGTGGTGAGAAACCTATCTTCGAGGCGAGCCGTGGCAGGTGGTTTGGGGGAGGCTGGCGGCTCCACAGTGCCATGCCATGTGATGCCTTGGCTGATGTGCTCCGGTCGGCCAGCCTTGCCAGAAAGAGGCAGCTGCTGTGCACGGTGATGCTAATTGTATGCATGGCTGGCAGCTGCCTTCTTCCTACCTGCCAGTGTGGTGTAGTGGTTAAGAGCGGTAGACTCGTAATCTGGTGAACCGGGTTCGTGTCTCCGCTCCTCCACATGCAGCTGCTGGGTGACCTTGGGCTAGTCACACTTCTTTGAAGTCTCTCAGCCCCACTCACCTCACAGAGTGTTTGTTGTGGGGGAGGAAGGGAAAGGAGAATGCTAGCTGCTTTGAGACTTCTTTGGGTAGTGATAAAGCAGGATGTCAAATCCAAACTCTTCTTCTTCTTTCTTTTCTCTTTGCTGAGCTGGTAATATACTGCCATATCAGAAAGCTTAGCTGGCAATGTATTGCAATGTTGGAAAGCAGGTATTGGTCAGCCCTACTGTAGAGCATGCAACGAAAACAACAAAGGGTTGCTATAGCCAGCACACACCTGCGTTCTGTTAAAGTTATAAGTTTAATATGCATGAAATATCTGTATATGCTGAATTTCAAACTTATGTAAAGGTTTGTATTTGCAAGGCAGATAAGTTTACATTAAGCAAGACGTTTCACTCTAGGTGAAAGCAGAAGGCTGTTTTTTTTCCATTTCACAGGCTTAGGCTACTTGTTGACTCATTGCTGGCAATCTGAGCTGCAGATCTCTCAAAGTAGGAGAGGAAACTTGAAAAGTCAGTGATGGCTAGCAGTAGCAGTGGCAGATGAAGCTAAGCTCTGCAATGATGAACAAGCTTAGGAACTCTCTCTGGGACCAAAGAGGAACATTTACTGAACTGCATAAAGAACAGAACCTCATAACTTGAGAGCAATATGTTCCTTTGTTCCGTTGTAACAGTTATCTTTTGTAGCTAGTATTTAAGACTGTTCTGCAGTAAAGCTTTGAAACTTATTATTGGGGTGGAAAGCTCTTCCAAGCAGTTCTCTTTCAAGCAGCTGCTTGCTCCATGTGTCAGCAGGTGGCAAAACAAACAGGATCTTGCATTTCTCTCCCCCCCCCCCCCATTTTCATAAAGTTTTTCAAGATGTGGCTTACTGTTTGTTCCACATGGCCAGCAGGCTGTGATTCCAGCACTTCTTCCTCTACCCCAACATACGTATTTTTATAAAGTATGTCAAGTAGCTGCCTGCGTACTGCTCTATGTGGCTGGCAGGCAGTAAAGCAAAACAAATAGAACAGCAAATGGATGGATCTAAGGACTAGGAAATAAGACACAAACAGGAAAGGTACACTAAAGGAGAAGGGGAAACAGCAGCTCTTTAGAACACCAAGGATTCCTGTTGCCTGGTGTCCAAACAACTCACTTAACACTCAAATCTTTGACTTACCTCATTGGCTAAAGCCACTAACAGGCAAGAGCAGTTGGCTCATTTCACAGAAATTGCTTCAAAGAGAACTTACACATTTTGCTTCATAACTTTTTTTCTAGAAGGGCTAAATACATTTTTTAAAATGCAAGCTCATCATCTGGGGTTTCTGTCCAACTTAGTTGCTGTACTGTATTGTGCTAAAAGGACTGGGGAAGAGCAAAGTGGGTGCATTCTCTTCTGACTGGGAGTCATTACGTTTGTACTGTGGAATGTAATGGCGTCCGGCACACTTCCCTGTGCCAAATGTGAGCCTTAAGCTTTCTTCCTGGCTCCAAGCAGAGTTTCGCAGCAGCGGTTAGTGCCTTGTGTGGGTGATAAATCAAAGTATGTACGCAGGCTTCTTGCTATCTAAGAAGTCTTTATTATCGTACAGAAAAACATCATAAATCAACCCGGAGATCAAGCGGACATCTCATTGGCTCGACAGCTAAAAACGAAAGTAAAACACACACAAAGAAAGATTCACGTATGTGAATAAAACCACGCCTCAGAATGTGAGACGTCACACAGAACTGTTTAACCCTGTAAGTTCTGATTCTCCTCACATGTACAGCCTGGGTATGCTATAGTTTGGCTTACTGTAATATGAGAACCCAGGCCTATATGTATGTTAGCTGTCAGGAGCCCAGGCTGCCATCTTGATAACACAGCATATGCAAGTCATAATTAGCTTGAAGATTTATTGCAAAGCAAACAATTAGCCTCTGATGCTCTAGCCAAGCGTCCGTGTCTTACGATTCAGTTGACCCTTCTGACCTGCTTCTGCAGAATATCCTGAATGATGACCCTTACATTTCTGGGTTTGCTTTCTGTCTAATACCTTCCCCAATCGTCTACTCCTTGGACTCATGGGGTTAACTACCTCCTCTTCAGTTAGGAAATGCTCCCCCTCCTGCCTTCGAGCCTGCCTGTGCTTCTTGATAGAGTTGGCTTCTCTCCAACCCACCCTCTGTTGATGGCTTATCTGCATTCCTTTCATTGTCAAGAAGGGGGGGGGGAGAAGTTGACAGCCAACTGCTTCCAGCTGTCTGAGAGAAATGCAAGCCTCTTTGTTGCTGACTGCATCCTAACTCATGCTGTACTTCTCTACTTTGGGCAGACGTGTTCATGACATTAGCATTTCTGTTTCTTATCTTAAACAAGATAAATGAAAAGTATAAAAAGCAAATCAAATCTTGTATGGTACTTCCTGTTAACTTGGTTACATTTCTTTATTAGTGACATATCAAAATGATGTATGAATAGCCTCTGTTATCACTATATAAGAATAAGTTAAGTTTTTGTAATTTTGTTTTTACTTTGTCCTGTGCATTTAGCATCTCTAGAAACTTGAAACACATTCTTTGTCCTATGGTATACATTTATATCTTTATTGTTTGTATAGACCCTTATTCTTGCTCTCCCAGAATTGTTTTTGTTGACTAAAATTAAGCCAATGCATGAGAATTTGCAGAAGTGGGCTGTTATGCATCAAATAGGATTTTTCAACCAGAATCTTGAAAGAAGGAAACAAACGAAATATTCAACAGTCAATTCACTTCAGCTGTATGCCAAGATGTCACTTGCTTGTCATCTTTTTGTTCTGACAAAATTATTTTAGTACACATCTTCTGACTGCTGCATTGAGTAACTTCTTCACTGTTTATGCGTTTAGTAACTGCTATGCTGTTTATGAATAGTCTGAAATTCTTACATTTTCCATCCACAAGCATTTACACATTGCTTTTTAGCACTAATACTGTCCATAGATTTTTTGTTACCTTTTTTATCCCTCTACAACGTAGGTATAGTTAACATTATGCAGATCTGTGTAATTAAATTTTAAAATAAAAATAAATGCTTTACATTTCAAAGACAAATGGCTATTACAGAAGAAGAAAACATTATTGTTCTAATACAGGTTCAGGCTCTCTGCTAAGTGAGTAGTTCAGGTAGGGTTTTCATATGTCCAGATTTTCCCAGACACCACTGCTTTTTCAGGGGTAAAATTTCATTTGCAAAAATGTCTGGGGTTTTTTTTTAAAAAAAAGAAGAGGAGAAAGGCAGCACCCAAATCAAATATGGTAACCATGAAGTTGCCCCTGCAAGAGAAAACTCTGGTTCCCTCTTTTGGGAAGCTTGGCAATGGCTGGCTCACCTCTGGCAGGGTGCAGGTACTCCTAGCAAATCAGCTCCTAAGTACGGCCGTGGGCCCCGAGCAAGCAGTCTGCTTCAGGGCCCCTCCAGGAAACCAGACACACTGTGTTTAATGTATCAAATTGTGGCAGGTCACATGAGGTCCTGGAGAAGGGGTTGAGCAGCACCACAGCAGTAGCCACTGAGAGTGGACCAAGCAAGGCAGTGAGAGGCTGGTGGTGGCTGCAGTGGAGATCCAGTGGAGGGAAGGGGAGAGGAGCAAGGCTGAGGCAGTAGTTCCCTCCGGATTGGACTCCCGATTTCCCCCCTCCTTCCTTCTTTTCCTCCCCTCCCCTTTCTACCACATCACCCTGTTGGGTTGAAATCACGACAGACGAGTGGTAGGTGTCATATGAGAGGCGTCTGCCGGGGCAAGCCCCGGGAACGCTAAAGAATTAATGTTCATACGATTCCATACAGCCAATCCAGGGACTCCTAAGAGAGAAACAGCTAAAGAGATATATTCAGACCTACTGAGAAGAGAGACAAAAGCATCACAATCATTAGTCAATTCAATATTGCGGTGGTATCGAGAGCGGGATAATGATGCTTCTTGGGTAAAATGATGGACAAACGGCTTAAACAGCAAGGTGTGCCATGGCTGATGTATTGTCACATGGTAGGGGAATTCAGCATTCCTTGTGGTAGGACTTTCCATTGGTACCGTTCCGTGGGCTGACTGTTATTTAACACAGGAACAGTAAAAGCAAAGAATTTACGATCTTTCTCCTGTAGGGGGATGGAGAAAAAAACAGTCTTGCAAATCTATTATAGCCAATTGATAAGAATGTGGAATCATATTTGGATTAGGCAGACCACACTGCAAAGGCCCCATGGGTTCAAGGATTTGGTTTATTTTCCTTAAATCCTGGAGAAATCTCCATTTGCCACTCTTCTTTTTTATGACGAAGATGGGGGTATTATAGGGGCTAACTGAAGGCTCTATATGGTCTGCCGATAATTGTTGATTCACTAATTGTTTTAAAGCAAGTAGCTTTTCTCCCGTTATGGGCCATTGTTCCACCCATACAGGACTGGTAGATTTACAGCTTAGGGGAAGTGCAAGCTTACTCATTAGATTGAATGGTAGCTTGTAATTGTTGTAGTAAATCTCTTCCCCACAAATTGAGGTGGATTTTCAGCACACAGGGCTGGATGTAAGCAATGGTTTCAGAGCTATCAGGCAGAGAAACAGGCAGCCACTGTACGCTTTTGGAAGAGGTTTGGGGGCCACCCACACCCCAGACTGCAGAGGCAGACTCAAGGGGCCACGTGGGGACCCAGCAACTACTAGAAATTACAGAAACGTCTGCGCCTGTGTCAATCAAGCCTTCCAGCACAATACCATTGATTTTATACTTACGAAGAAGTTTCTTTTCACCAATCCTCTGGACTACAGCTAACAGCTGTGGAGGGAAAGAAGAGAGCTCGTGCAAATTAGTATCCATAATAGAAGCAGTAGGATGAGAAGGGAGCACCACCAAATGCGCCCAAGACTCACCCTTTTTTAATTGCATGGGCATATGGCTCCAGAGTTGAACCATTATTGTGCCTACATAGTCAGAATCCAGAACCCCAGGAATAACCTGGATTCCTTCTTTTGCCGCAGAAAATTTGGGTAAAATTAAACCTGCGACTTTAGGAGGCAGTGGGCCTGCCAATTGAGTGGGCATAAGAACAATTTCACCAGGTAAAACAGAGTCTTTGGTCTCTTGATTGATCAAATCAATGGCAAATTCAGAGGGTGTATTTTTAGAAAAGTTTGCAGCAGCGGAAATTAAAGGTGGAAAACTCTCTAATTGCCCTGGCCCGAGAGTGGGGCCGCAATGGAGTTTCCCGGACTCCTGCATTGATTAGCCCAATGATAGCCTTTTCCACATTTCGGGCATTTTTTGGAAGGTTTAGTAGCTTGGATTGCGCATGGCTCTGGCTACCGACATCCGCACAAGCTTGAATCATATCGGCCAGGTCATATTTAGGGCGATGTATGATTGACTGCAATGCTTTCTTGCAATCGGTGTTTGCGTTTTCAAAGGCCAATTTTTTCATTAATTCATTTTGAGCTGTAGTGTTATCAATCTGCCTAGTGACTGATTCTTTCAATCTATCTATAAACTGATGGTATGGCTCCGAATGCTGTTGCTTAATATTAACAAAGGAGCTCAGCGGTTGCCCTGAAACAGGGACTTTCCGAAAGGCGCGTTGTACACAGGTCGCGGTGCGACTAAAATGTACAGGTGTCAGCGTTGCCTGGGCAGTTATATCAGCATACTGACCAGCGCCATAAAGTTCATTGGCAGTATGCTGCGGATCAGACAGGGCTGATGCGCTATGTTTAAATTCACTCTCAAACACCACATACTGAGCTGGGGATAAAAGCATGCGCATCAGGTCTTTCCAGTCTTGAGGTAGCATAATGTAACCAGTTGCTATGCCTTCTAGCATTCCTGTCACATAAGAGGATTTTAGACCAGAATCAGCAATGGCTTTCCTTAATTCTCTCATTACAGAATAAGGAAGTGCCTCATAAAAAACCTGCTGTTGAGCAGTTCCAGGGTTTGAATAGGTGATAGGGAAAGCAGACGGCATTTCACCTGGCCACTCAGACTCCTCCTCTAAGGACAGGAGCCCTTTCTGCCTGGCCAAAGAAAGCGCAGCGAGCACAGCTCCTATAGAGCAAACAGGGGCTGTGGCAGGAGGAGGAGGGATGGGGGGGAGGATGCAGGCTGAGGTGGAGGGATGGGGGGGAGGATGCAGGCTGAGGAGGCTGAGACGCAGGGAGGGATTGGCTGGGCTGCAAAGGAAAAGGAGGCAAAAGCTTTGGGTAAGGTGGGGGATTGTCTGCGATGGCTAGAAGGGGAGACGCCGAGGGAGACACCTTGGGTCCCAATAATTTAGCAACGGCGTCTGCACATTTCTGCCAAGTGAGCAGACAATGAATCGGAGCCCTAGGTTCTGTAAAAAGGGTCTTTCCGATCTTTTGCCAAGTCCCTACCTCTAAGGAACCAGCCTCAGGATAAAAGGGACATTGGCAATTAATCTCACATAGCAATTGTTCAATTTCTTTTAAGGAAATATTAACACCCACCGCTCGCTGTCTAACTAAATAAAGCAATTCTTTAGCATGCTCTTTCTGGAATTTAGTCAATTCCCCTCCCATACTCACGAAGTAGCGCGCTGAGACTTTTCCAGTCGAGTGAAGTATGAGGGCTGGCTGCGTAAGGGATCTGGCACGTCGGGGTCACCAGATGTTGGGTTGAAATCACGACAGACGAGTGGTAGGTGTCATATGAGAGGCGTCTGCCGGGGCAAGCCCCGGGAACTCTCTTTTATTGAATATTACAAACATTGCCACAGGTGTGCTTGTGGCTGATTGGTTGATACAAACACAAAGCATCATGTTGCTGATTGGTTAACATAGGTACAAGGCGGGAATTACATATAACATCAATCACTGATAGATCAAAGGCTGAGAATCGGAGCTGGAACTAGACAGGCATGAAACCTCCTAATTAAATTATAACTAAAGATTGATATTGAGAGAACATAACATGAAGGAATACAACAATCACGTTCCGTAGATGTGGTCAGCAATGCATTAAGAACAGGTCAGGATACACTGTTTCATGAACTCAATGGGAACTGTTCTGAACATTCTCAGACTTATGTGCAGAGGCAAAAACTTCCCAGCATACAAGAGAAAAGAAGCAATAGTTCTCATAGTCCCATAATGCCACAGTTATGTGCAGTAAGAGAACTGCAGAAAGAAAACTTCCCTTCATCACCCAGTTTACATGATCCAGAACTCCTACATTATTCCCTGCCTTTGTTCTGCATGATAGCATGGCGATAATACACCTCTCCTGATTTTTGTGGTGTCTTTTTCTCTTTGTTTGAAATCGTGGGTCTATTCTATGGGGTTTTTTTTATTCTCTTGCGTGTGGCAAAGGTGAAAGATTGTCTGATCCAGTGGTCTGTTAGTTAATTCTTGTTTGTGACTGAGGGAGCATTAGAAAGAGGTGTGGAAGATAGAGGGGTATGTGTAGATATATATCTCTATATCACACACAGAGAGTTTTAAAAATTGCAATCTGTAGTAAAAAGTAGAAATTGGCAAATGTGTCCCCTTTTTTGCTCTTCAAAATATGGCAACCCTAATTAAGGAGTTATTCACTATATTTTTGAAAAAATAACTTTTTCTGCAGTGGTGGCACTATCCTTTCTACCTGCATATATTGGAGGGGATCTTTAAAAGGCATAATGTAGCCCAGTGTTTCTCAACCTTTTCCTGACCATGGCCTCCTTCCAACTTTGTTTCCTTCCTGTGGCCCCCCTGTCCTACTGCTCGAAAGGTAGCTATTTAAATGTCTTTTTTTTTTTGTAAATAGAACGTTTTATAATTTATACAAAATATAATTACATAAAAATGTATTTCTTGATCAATGTGACCCTTGTGCTTGATGACCAGAAACAAGCTTTTTCACATCTGGTTCTATTGTTGTGAGGGATAACTGAAGATCACCTCTGTCCGTTACGTTAAGGCGATTCCATGTTAGGCTGAGTAAATAATTCACACGACTGAAACCTCATTCTGCCAAATACAGAGTAGGAAATGACATGAAAAACAATTTTGCTTTATCTCAAAGCTGTGTAAACTTTTTAGATATTGTATCCTTTATCCCAAAATGGTGTTTTTCTTGACTGAAATTTACTTTGGCTGCTATGTCACTCTGTAGCTCTATGACAGCAGCATTCACAGCAAATGGATCAACTACCCAGGCCGGAATATCCATGTCCAGCAGATCATGCAAACAAACTTCCTTATCATTATAAAGCTGCTTCAAATGATTCACATACACAATTATTTCATCCTCTTTCAATTCATCACTAACTGCTGCCAAAGAGGAAAACTGCAAATTCTCGACATCCAATTGATGGTATACAGTTTGACTTTTCCAAGAAAGCCTGTAATAATCTCCTTGCTTGAAAAAAGGTCACAATTCCTGCCCTGTAGTTCTTTGTTCAACAAACTGAGCTTTTCAGAGACATCAAACAGGTAAAATATATTACATTTAACAGAGGTCATATTTTCTTGCCTCTGAAAAATGTCACAACTGAGTCCCACAAAGCACCAAAACGACAGCCAACAGACTTCTGTATGCAATAATAAGCATGTGAAGCATGTGAATAATAAGCATGTCATTGTCCTCACAAAGCTGTCAAAACAGACACTCTGTCTTGCAAATATCTAACATAAGCATTGCTGTGTTATCTGGTAAACACAATTCATCAATTTGCAAAGCAAACTTCTGAACTTTTAACTACGAGACTGCAGTCATACCTCGGGTTCAATCAGGTTGAGCGCGTTTGGGTTGCGCTCCTCGGCAACCCGGAAGTAACTGAGTGCGTTACTTCCGGGTTTCACCGCTCGCGCATGTGCAGACGCTCAAAATGACGTCATGCACGGAAGCGGCAAAACGCGACCCGCGCACGCGCAGACGTGCCATCACGTCTTACGTTCCATTCAGGATGGAAGCGGGGCTCCGGAACGGATCCCGTTAGCATCCCGAGGTACCACTGTAGCCGGTTTTCAACATCTGTCATTTTGTCAATATGCCTCGACACTGATGTCTTGCTCAAAGGGATGGATTTGATTGCCCTATAGTGTGTGGCTGTCAATTTGAATATATCATAAAATGCAATTAAACCTTTTGTCATTTAAAACAGATTTCTGAACAAACATTTTCAAATTTATCTCGTGACGCTCAAAAATATTCCAGTGGTTTATCCTACTTGTTTTTATGAGAAGTTTAAAAATGTTTCTGCAACTTACATGGACACATATTCTCATTGGAAAGTGTCATCATACATATCAAACGCATAGGTCTTGTGTGGTCTTGTGGTGACAGAATAAATCCGTAGCCAAGATACTTGACTGATACAGATGAAGACTAATTTTACATATGTTTGCAACTACAAAATTGAGATCACTTCTCAGAAATAAAACAGCGTTAGAACATCTGAACAAAAACAAATGAAAAATTATGTCTGATACCAATAGATCTTTACAATGAGAAGCAACTGAACACAGCAACTGCGAAAGAAATGGTAAACACAACTGCTAAAAATACCTGAAGATTACATGCAGTGCTCTTGCATACATCAACATGCAGTACCTCCTTTCGCAGCAATACTTACACGAAGAAACAGCACCCCACACACTAACACTGTTGCAGCCACACACCTTGCCCATGACAAATGAGATGCGGGCAGCTTGGTGCTTGCAGTGGTGGAAGTGGGAGGGAGAAGGAAGCCGAAGGAACATTGCCGCAGATTCTGCATGGCGATCCATCCACTGGGAAGCATGGTCACTTCTCTGTTCACTCTACTTCTCTGTTTTCTTTTATTGGTCACTTCTCTGTTTTCTTCACTTCTCACTTCTCTATGTGGCCCCCTAGTCTCATGCTGTGCCCCCTCCATTTATGTGATTTTCACCTGTGGCCCCCTTGGAATATTCTGGGGGCCCCCAGGAGGCCATTTGGCCCCCAGTTGAGAAACACTGATGTAGCCTGTTCTCTAAATGTTAATCCAGTTGATTTGGTTTTCTCCAGGTTCTCAGCATTCAGGCTATTTGTATTCTGATCAGTATTGTAACCTTCTGTGAGCTAGCAGAAGAAAAGGGCTCTCATTATGCTTTATGCCAACTTCCCTCAACCTTGGGCCCAGATGTTAGATGCTCAGTAGAGCATGAGGCTCTTAATCTCATGGTCATGGATGGGTTCATGTCCCAGGTTGGGCAAAACATTCCTGCATTGCAGGGGGTTGGACTAGATGGCCCTCATGGTCCCTTCTGACTCTACAGTTTTATGATTCTGTCCCTGACCATTGGTTATGGTGGCTGGGGATGATGGATGTTGTAGGCCAACAACTTCTGGGGACCAACAGTTGGGGAAGGCTACTGTATGCCATGGGGTTGCTCTCGCACACATGCAGGTTGCATAAGCAGGAGGGATGGATTTTTAAAGAAACACCTTCCAGTCAGTCACAGAAGCTTAATTTTGCAATGGTTAACAGTAGCAGTACTGATATATAAATATTTTTAATGTGCTTAGCATTTTTAATTCTATATAGTTCTGTTTAGTTCTGTTTTCAATAGCTCCAGCAGTGTTCTGACTCATTCACAAACTTCTGAAATACAAGTTTCATCAGTGACACCAAATACTGCTGCAGTTTTAGCAGGTATTGTTAAATAACATCCAGCACAGGCAAAATGAGCACACATCCAGCACAGGCAATATGAGCACACATAAAACAAATATGCATTATTATGTTTAAGTATTATATATTATTAGCATTATATATTATTAGTACATGTTGAATGTAGTTTTCTTTAACTTGGGAAATTATATGTGAAAATTTCCTGGAAGAATTAATTGCTACAAAGGAGTTTTTTGGTTTTTTTAAAAATATTTATTAAGAATTTTAAAATTACAAGAAAAACAAAGAGAAAAAGAAGGAAAAACAAAAACAAAAACAAAAGAAAAACAAACCACAATCAAACAATACAAATTGATAAAAAACAAAATCAAAAAACAACAACAAAACATGTAACACATCACAATCAAAAAGCAAAAATAAACCACAAAAATTTAAAAACAAATCCAATATTCCCAAATCCTTAACTGTCATTACCTTATTTCATCGACCTCCTCACTCCTCCCTTTTTTGTATTCTAGTTGTTAATTATCACAGCAAATCCTTTCCATTTTTCATAGTATTCTGTCATTAAATTACCTTAATCTATTTTAACCTTATCTTACTATAAAAGACCCTAAAACTTAAAACTTAGATCTTATTTATACCAATTTATCATAACCATAACATATTCTTACATAATTCTTTTAACATTTCTGCTAAAGCCAAATAATTTTGTTCCAACGTTTTTCTAACATTCATCAATTTTATAAAACAATCCTAATAAAGTTTTTTAAAACTTTCTTCCAATCTTCATCCAACGTCTCTTCCTCCTGGTCCCGGGTTTTGTCAGTCCTTTCTATCCCGTCCATCTAGCTCATTAACCTGGTAATCTTATGTCCGAGGCCCTTAAGTCTCTTCCATGTCCCTTCCGCAGATCTTCTTCATATTTATACCTGTACTTTACTTTGTCTCCTGCTCCTTTCACTCGTGGAAACTCCAACTTGGCAGTATTTTTGTCCCTTCTCGACAAATCAGCCCCTTTTCCATAGTCCACACTAAACTCCATGTGGTATTTTAAAACATGTTTCAAAGTCTCTCCAGAGTTAAGAACCCCCACAACCCCAAACATCTAACGGCCCATTGCCAGACTTGAAAAGTCAAAACATCCCTGCATAGGGGGGTCTATCCAACCCCCCATTTCCAAACCAAACAAAACTCTATCTCTCCAAATCTGGCTTTTTCCAAGTTCATTTGTCAGATCCAACAACTCATGTTCCTCCTGGGCCTCAGCTCCCTCCATCTCTGCCACCCGAGGTCCAGCAACATCCTCCTCCCTCATCTGATCTGTCAGAGCACACTCATGAGTTGATTCCTGGGTGGGTTCTAAATAGTTTCCCACTACCTGTCCAAAATTTCTGATCGCAACAGTCATCAAGTCCGTCTTCTCATGTAACTGTTCCAATAAGGCACTTGTTTTGCAGAAAGCATGCACCAGAGCTTCTGAATACATTGTTATGCAAGGTCAGAAGTCTGTTCCCACGATCTTAATCTGTTGCAGCTGCAGAGCTCCCCGGTTCCAATTTAGTAACAGTATCGCAGGCTCCCTCTAGGGGAAGAACTTCTATTTGTATCCATCTCTTTTCTTTTTTTTTCTTTTAAAAGCAGATCTAACAACAAAGTTTCCTTTTTCAGATATTTTGTCAGTATTTGTTCCTTTAAAATGTGAAGGAGAGCAATGGAATCACTATGTTTCTCTTCTTTTAACTGTCTGTCAAAGACGTTTGTCTATAGTCAATGAACTTCCCAAAAACGTCTGTCCTGACACCCCGCTCCCAGGTTCAAGACGGTGGAAAATTACTTTTCTTTACACTCTCCTCTGCAGGTTTAAACAGTCCGGAAAAAATCCCCCCTCTTCTCCTGCTTCCGAAGGGGGTTCAACAATTTTAGATGATGAAAGTTAATCCTTTACAAATGTTTTTCTGAACTCTAGTTTGCCATGTCTTTGCTTTAATCTATCTACAAGAAACGGAAGGCTGACTTCCTGTTTAGACCTTCCCGTTTCAGTGCCAAATTAAGAAGAATTTCTTAGTCCAATTTTCCTTTCTACTCACAAGTCGTTGTTTAAAGTCCAATTGTCCGAAATTAAGCTACTCACGGGTAGTTGTTTTAGTAGCCAAATTGTCCCAGGAAAAAGGCAGCGCTCTCCGGCAACGGCTGTGCGGCTTCGCTCCACGGAAGAAGCAGTTGACTCTCAGCACCACGCCACTTGCCCCTCTTTGCTCCGGAGCCCGTAACTGGGTTCCTTTACGAGTTGGGGGGGGGCGCGAAAGGTGCCCGCCGAGTCCCATGGTCACAGGCTTCATCCGCCTGTGATTTTTCAAAGGGTCCCCGCTTCGCTGTAGCGGGAAAGACCCGTTTTCCGTGGAGCCAGTCCCTCCGGATCAGAGGGAATCCGCCATTACCGATGGCGCCACCCCGGAAGTTCGATGGCGCCACCCCGGAAGTCTACAAAGGAGTTTGACCTCTTGCTGACCAGTTGCAGAGCGGTATCATCTTGGGCATTTAATTCCAAGTTCCAACAAAGTAAATTATGCTAAATTTTGTTAAAGCACTTGGACTAGATGATATTGCTGATTTTGTGAAAGGGTTGCTTGTGAGTTCAGAATTAAGCCCATTATAGATGTAATGTTCTGAATCTCTTAAATCATGGTTAAGAGATCAGGAGTGGGCTCATATGACACACACTTCCCTCCCTTCTCCTGCTCCTCCACTGTAAGGCTAACTAAGGTTAGGACTTGTATTGGCACCAACCTTAAGCATAGTTTACATTTAAACAAGATATAGGGTGATACTCAGTGCTAGTCCTACTCATAGTAGACCCATTGAAGTGAATTGACATAACTAGCTTTTGATTAGGACTTAGTTGAATACAGGTGAAACTCGAAAAATTAGAATATCGTGGAAAAGTTCATTTATTTCAATAATTTAACTTAAAAGGTGAAACTAATATATGAGATATATATGAGATAGACTCATGACATGCAAAGTGAGATATGTCAAGCCTTTATTTGTTATAATTGTGATGATCATGGCGTACAGCTGATGAAAACCCCAAATTAACAATCTCAGAAAATTAGAATGTTAAATGAAATCAGCAAAACAAGGACTGCAAATAGAGCGATATTGGACCTCTGAGAAGTAGAAGCATGCATATGTACTCAGTACTTGGTTGGGCCCCTTTTGCATCAATTACTGCCTCAATGCAGCGTGGCATGGATGCTATCAGCCTGTTGCACTTCTAATTTTTCGAGTTTCACCTGTACAACTCATACTGATCAATTCTCTAGTTAAGAAAAAGCCCTCAGTCCTATCCATGGTTAAATCTAGTTTGACATAAACTTAACTATGAGGAAGGGTAAGATGCAGGGTTTGAATGTACCATCCTGCTCTGATCTATGAAATTCTAAGTGTTACATCTCTCCTGGTTCTTACAGGGTGACTCACTAACATTTTACACTGTTGTTCTGTTACCCTTTCATCTTTTGGAATGCTATACAGGCATTTCCCTACTTGCGTGTGAAGAGCATGTGTTCTCCCGCTGACACACATACCAAAAGGGGGTGAGGCAGGAGTGGAACGGGGGAATCCCCACTCATGCACATCCTGGTGACGTGCAGCGGCCCAAACCGGAACCCCCACATAAGTGGTGATTCTCCTGTACCCTTCAAAGAGATTCTCATCTTAGCAGTGTTTGGTATTTTGAAGATCTTGCAAAGATAAATACATACAATGATAATTTCTTTTTTAAAAAATTGGTAACATGAACAAACCTACCATTTAATACTATATAACTGTATTTGAAGGGGGAGGGAAGAGTATCAATACAAAAACAAAGTATCTTGACTTATTTAGTTGTTTAATCAGACATTATAATGTAACAGAAATGTTTCTACACTGCACTTCATCGTTTTTATGCTGAAATTAACTACATTGACTTATTAAAACAGTAAAACAAAAAATTAAAACAAATCTCTTCATATTATGTGTAATCTTCACAAAATAAACAAGAACAAGGTGATTGGTCTGTGCACCAGCTTTATATTACCAGTCATATTAGGTTTTGCACAAATGAGCTAAGAACAATGGACCAACATTGCTAACACTTCTTGCTTCCTTCTAACTGGTTTTGTTTTGTTTTTATAGTGGATGATGTTGGGGAAAAGCTCGACCATATTGGAAACACACCATTAAAAATCAACAGTGAGGTTTCACATGAAAATGTATCTAAAGATGATGGTTTTGGTTCTGAAGTTATTAAAGTTTACATATTTAAAGCTGAAGCTGAGGATGATGTGGAAATAGGTATGTATCCCAGCTTCTGTTATTGCTAGTTTCTAGTGTTTGCAAAAATTATTATTATTTATTAATTTTATATACCACTCTTCATCCAAAGATCACAAGGAGGTTTACAAAATAACAGTCCAAAATGAAAACACAAAATACCTATCATCATCATAATAAGAACAACAAAAATCAATAACTCAATAACTCCTGTGTACAAGCACATGTAAAGGGCCATAGATTGTTTAATCAACCAAAGGCCTGATTATAGAAGAAAGTTTTTGCCTGGTGCCTAAAAATATGTAGTGAAGTAACCAGGCAAGCCTCTCTGGGAAGAGCAGTAATCTAGACCAGGCATAGGCAAACTCGGCCCTCCAGATTTTTTGGGACTACAATTCCCATCATTCCTAGCTAACAGGACCAGTGTTCAGGGATGATGGGAATTGTAGTCCCAAAAAATCTGGAGGGCCGAGTTTACCTATGCTTGATCTAAACCCTATCAAGAGCAGGCCACCTCCCATCCATGTGGACTAGGGCACCGCCAACAAACAGTGCCTCAGTCTTACCTGGATGGAGCTTCAGTTTGTTGGCTCTCATCCAGTTCATTCCTGAGGCAAGACAACATTCCAGCACATCCGTTTCCATACCTGAAGGTGTAAAGAAGAAGTAGAGCCGTGTTTCTTCAGCATATTGCTGACAACGTATTCCAAAACTGGATGACCCCACTCAGTGGTTTCATGTAGATGTTAAACAGCATGAGGGATAAAATCGAACCCTGAGGAACCCCACATTGAAGGCTTCACAGCTCTCCCCAAGCATCACCCTCTGGAAATGACCATCCAAGTAGGCCTGGGACCACCACAAAGCAGGGCCGCCCATCTGTCCTGCACACACCCAGACCAATGAGGACAAGTGACTGGAATTTTATTTCTTTATTAGCAAAGCACTCAGTTACATCAGCTCCTAAGGTGCAAGGATATGCACACTATTCCACACTAACTAGCTGGCTAGGCAATCTACCTCTCCGGCCGGTTCTCTGTCTTGGACAATTTGAGCAACAGTATAGCAACTCCCCTTCCTGCTTTCTTAAACTTACTAGTCTGATGCTGTGCCTGCAAGTACCCAATGGCTTCTCCTGACTGGCAGCTCCAGCTGCTCCCATTGCTTTAAGTCTCTCCATAAGTGTGGAGACAGTAGATTGGGGGACAGAGGGGATTCCAAAGGCACAACTGTCTCTGGACCCGTCACAGGCTCTTCAGCTTCTGATACTTTCTCCAGCTCTTTCCCCACCTCCTTTCACTTGGTCTCTAGCCACCTCTAGCTCCACTCCGGCAGCTGCCCCATGGGTGGCACAGAACCCCCACAAATCACTGGCCTCTTCACCTGGATTTTCAACCTCACCTGACTCTTCTGCTCATACATTTCCCCAACTCTCATGCTCCTGCCCGTCCATGACACCAACTCAAGATAGCTGCTCCAGAAGGATACCATTGTTGATGGTATTGAAAAAGGTCAAGGAGAATGAACAGTGACACATTTCTTCCATCTCTCTCCTGACAGAGGTCATCATACAGGGTGACCAAAGCTGTTTCTGTGGCAAAACTGGGCCTAAGCCCCAATTGAAATGGATCTAGAAAATCAGTTTCCTCCAAGAGTACCTGGATCTGCTCTGCAAACACCCACTCAAAGAAGGGGATGTTGGCAACTGGCTGGTAATTACTTAGATTTTGCGAATCCAGAGCGGGTTTCTTGAGGAGTGGTTCAAGCAGGCAGGGACCATCCACTCTCGCAAGGAGGCATTAGTCACCTTCCTGGCACAGCCAAATGTCCCTTCTCTGCTAGTTTCTATCAGCCAAGAGAGGCAAGGATCCAGAGCATAAGTCATCACCCTGACTGATCCAAGCATGCTGTCGACGTCCTCAAACCTTACAACTGAAACTCATGCAACACAACAAGACTAGACAGTGCTCTGGACACCCCTTGAGATTCATCTGCTGTAACAGCAGAGTCAAAGTCCCATCAGATCAAAGCAACTTTATCCTCAAAATGCTTTGCAAACAAGTCACTGTGAGCTACCATTAGTTCTGCTTGCTCCTTTGGGCCAGACTATTGAAGGCCCCGCACTGCCTGGAAAAGCTCTGCCAGATGGCACAATGAGGATGTAAGGGAGGCAGCAAAGTATGCCTTCTTTGTTGTCTTCACTACCACTAAGTAGGCTTGATGATGAACCCTCCCCAGTGTTTGATTGCATTTGTTTGGCGTTTTCCTCCACTTGTATTTAAGCCATCTCCCAGCTTGGGCTCATTGCCCTGAGCTCTGGAGTATACTGGGGAACCAAATGGGGTCCATGAAGTGGGAGAGCGTGCTCAGAGGCGATCAAGTCAATAGCCTGAGCCATTTGGATATTCCACAAGTCAGCGAGGGCTTCGACAGGAGTCATAGCAGCATGGAAACCCAAGGCTGTCTGGAAGTCAATTGGATCCATCAGTCTCCAAAGGTAGACTGTCCTCATAGGGCCCTTGCCTCTGCAGAGGGGGAAAAGGTGCTGAAAGCCTAAATCTCAACTGGACGTGATCTGACCATGACAAGGGACTGATGTCAGTATCCCCCACTCTTAGATCACTCTGTTTTCTGAGGAAACAAGGTCTAGAGTGTGGCATTCCACATGCATTGGGCTGATAACATGTTGTGACAGCCCCATGGTCATCATGACAGCCATGAAGTCCTGAGCCACCCCAGAGTCCATTGCCTTGGCATGGATGTTGAAGTCTCCCAAAACCAGCAATCTGGGGGTCCTCAACACTGCTTTTGAGACCAGCTGTGTCAGGGAAACTGCTGGGCAGCAAGGTGTTGTGCTAAACCAGCAGAATCCCTAATCTGTCCTGATTACCCAATGCCAGGAACAACCACTATTGTTCCCCACGCAACTGGACAGAGAGCCAGGAGAGAGAGAGAATTTCTGTAGACCACAGCAATTCCCGTTTCCTGATCCTCAAGTCTGCCCTGACACTGCATTGAGTACCCAGGTGGGCACAGCTGGGTGCAGCCAACTCCGTCCTGCTCACCCACTCAGGTCTCAGTGATACAGACCAGACTCGCCTGCTCATTCATAATCAGATCATGCATAAGGCAGATCTTATTCAGAGCCAATCTGGCATTCAACAGCAGCAGCCGCAGATTTGAGAGCTGTCTGATAAGAATACCACAATTTCCCCAGTTTGGAGGAGGGGTTGGCATATGGCACAGTTACTAACTGCCTGTGTCATGTGCCCCTTCCCCGGCCTGTGCCACCTCCTACACCATACCTCCCCCTGTCCAGAACTAGTATGATTGGGGGGGAGGCCCTTGCTCTCCCCAAGTCCCCTCTTCACAGACATGTATTTCTCTTCCTCCTTCCCACACATTAACAGCAACAACAAAGCCAAGCAAAACAAATTTTAAAAAGTCAAGCATAGAAATAAAAAAAACATTTTAAAACACTTACAAACACTTAGGGCAAGGCCGCCCCCCCCCCAAGGCAATGCGGAGGGGGTGGCCTTTGCCCTTGCCCTCCACTGAAGTGGATCCCACCAGGGCTGCTGTCTACATTGTGTAAAATGAATACTTCCTTGAAATGGTCTCCTGTTAAACCTCTTGTATTGTTTTTCATAAGACAATCAAAAACAATTAAATAACATAACAATACTATGAAAGCTGTGCCCGTAGATTCCAGATAGCTTCAGTCAACCCCTGCTTCTTCCTCAGTTATCTCACTCCACTTTCAGAACTAACTTCTCTCCCCACGCCCTTGTAAAGGCTCTTCTAAGTTAGTTCATGCCTGCCATATGCCCAGGCCATGGCAATTTGTCATGCTACTTACAAATTATAATGCTGTCCCATCAAGCTATCTTTTCCCCTAGTGACTTTTGTTGTCTTCTTATTTCACCAAGCACACAGGAGAGAAATGAAACATCTTGCTGTTTCTTTTAAAATGTTATTAAATGAAAATTAATTATTCTCTTCAAGGTGGAACAGAAATTGTAACAGAGAGTGACTTTCATAATGGGCATTCTGTAGCTGGAGTTCTAGAGCAAGGAGGTGTTGGCAGAGTACAGCGAGAGAAGATGCTTTATATGGCTGTTAAGGATTCCTCTCAGGAGGATGAAGATATTAGTAAGAATTTTATTTTTGTGTTGCTAAGAGAGTAATCTTGTCATTTTTCTCTTCCCCCTACAATTACTATGAAAGTAAATTGATTTTATCCATATATTGATAACTGATCATTTTATACTTCAGACGAGGATAGAGATCCTAACACATCCAATCTCCTCAAGCTATGTGCAAAGCCCATATGGAGAGGTCATAGCAAACCTAGTCATGAGTGTCCTATTGTTTGCACTATATTGCCACATCACAGACTTGTGATCCAGTATGTAGATGGACAGTTGCCTAGCTGCTATTGGTAGCACACTTATATCTGTGCAGTGTGTATTATTTATTTTATGTTTAAGTGAATTTCAGTAATGTTACGGCAGCTGGCATTTACATGGGGATGCTGACAATCCCAGAGGCATTTTGTGAATGTCTGAAAATAACTAGATATTTCTCCGTTTGTTAGACTTACACCCATGAATGTAGATCATCAAAGTAGGTGATTGTCAACATTCACTTTTTCTTATTTATTTATGCCTTTTGGACGTTCTGAAGTGATTTTATGAACTACAGCACTGTCAGGTTTAATGTCAACACATTACCGTAACATAAAAATAAGACATCCTATACATAGAGCACATATACATAAGCCCTTCATTAATTAATTTTACATTTTTTATTCATAGATTAGCAGTGAAATTCTGTACATGTCTACTCAAAAGACAATGTCTCATTGCGTTCAACAGGGTTTACTCCAAGGTAAGCAGGTAAACACTATTTTAAGGAATAAGCCCCATGGAAGACAGTGAGACTTACATCAGAGTAAACGCACACAGGATTGTACTCGTGATACATAAATGCCAATAATTTCTCACTTGCAAATTTGTAATTTTTCTACAATGTGGTACAATTTTATTAGTGGGCAGAGCAATCCAAGGTGGGGTGTAGAGTGAAGTGGCAGACAATCTACCTCTTCATGCTGTCCAGGGTGGGAAGTTAAAAAGGAGTAGGTTGTCTGAGAAACAAACCTTGCAGATCTGTGGGTTTTTATTACCCCCCCCCCACACACCAATTAAAGCCAATGAAGGAATCATTTCACCATTTTCAGCCTGGAATAGTTCATGGGCCTGCTCTTAGGGGCTTTTGAGGCACCCCTGCCCCTTCCAAATGCCTCCAGCCAGAACTACAGGTCAGGATTACACTGCATTTTTATTCAGTATTCAAAATTTGTTTATACCATTGTACATCTTAATAATATAAAGAAACATCACCAAACCCACTCTTTTGTTAGTGTTTGCTTTTTTAAAAAAATCTGTACTTTTTAAAAACAACAAATTAATGTCTAAGCCATGCACAGATGCATGTTTTGTTCCTGGTTGAAATTTTACTACAGAGACAATGCTTCTAAGTTACTCATGTTCATTAATTTTAATAGGTCTACTCCCAAGTATGACTTAGTTGGTTAGTATTCATAGGCAAGCCACTCATTCCCTCAATCTGCAAAATTGAAAAAATGATATTACATAGCTGGTGTAAAGATTACTTGGTTACATATGTGAAGTTATTTGATCACTCCAAATGCTATAGAAATAGGTGTTGTTGTTACATTCTTAGAACTCTATGATGCGGCTATGTTATGTTGTGAATAAATTCAAAAGACGACCATATTTAGGTCAATCTTGTGTGCTGAGGAACCATGTTAAACTTGTCACAGCTAATAAATAGCTTTGCAATGCAATTCTAAGCATTTTCATTTAGAAGTAGGTGTAGCCCTTGCCTCACCAACCTCCGAACTGCAGCTTTCTCATGGTATGCACATTGATGCCACTGATGGGAGGCCAGGTGTGGCTGCGCCTCTCCCCGCTGGCTGCTTCTGTTGAGAAGCAACCCCGACCAAGTTAAGTGGACTTCTTTCCTGGTAGATATGCATGGGTTTGCAGTCTTAGTCATGGGGGTAAACCTTTCAAGACAATTTCATGAATCTGGCATTCAGATTTTGGTTTTTCACACATAGATTGATGTACTCTGGTAGTAGATAACTGTACTGTGTCAAATATGGATTAATTGAGCAAAGATGAAAAGTTGCATGGATAATGTCATTAATTCCCATACCCTTTAAAACTGAATATAGGTTGTTCTGAAATAGCTGATGAAGTCTACATGGAGGTTATTGTTGGTGAAGAAGAAGCAACATCACTTTCCGACGCACAGCTTGAAGACCCCTGTGTGAATAAAACTTTTGTTCCTGTTGCGTGGGCTGCTGCTTATGGTAGGATGCTAGATTATATCTTAATCTTAATGAGAGTCTCTTCTCCACTCTTGCTTAATTTGCAGTGTTCCCATAGAGTTAATTGCATTGACCAATCTCTTTCTGCCCAAATAATGTTTTGCTATTTTGTGGACATAAGAGAGCAATAAGACATGTTGTGCCAAAGAGTATGAATTCATTTTAAAGCAGGGGTCAGCAAACTTGTTCAGCAGGGGGCTGGTCCACTGTCCCTCAGACCTTGTGGGGGGCCGGACTGTATTTTTTTTTGGGGGGGGGGGAGAGAACGATTTTCGCCCGCCCACAAAGAGGCCTGAAGATGCTTCGCTTTACCTGTCCCAGCTGTCATCCCAATAGCTGCAGTTGGGCTTCTCCAGCCAGCCAGGCACCGTGGCGGGGTAGGAGGCTGTGTTGGCCAGCGAAGACAGAAGCAGCAGCCCCGGCTGAGGAGCCACAGACAGAGGTAGGGGAACTGGGGCATCACAAGCTTTTACCCACCACCTGCTGCTGCTGCTGCTGCTTCCCAAGAGGCACCGCAGAGAAGACAGAGCCGCCTGCCAACCCACAAGCGGCGGCCACGGCCACCGCAACAACCCGTCTGAACGCCATGGGAGGAATGAAGGAGGGAGGCAGGCAGCGATGAAGAAAGTGTGCGAGGAAGCGGTGCGGAAAAGGGGCGTGGAGAAGGAAGGGAGGGTGGACTGAGGGAGAGGGAGGAGGAGCAGGAGGAAAACGCAGAAGCAGCTGGCACCCGGCGTCACACGCCCCCTTCACAGCGCCACCCTGTTGAGGCGGGTGGGCAGGCGAGCCAACTCACGCCATAGATGACGCCTGGCGTGGGACAAGATTGCTCTGTCCTCGAGGATAAAACCGCTGCCTTGAGAGGGAGAGGGATGGAGAGGGAAAGAACATGCGCACTGGCAATCCACTCAGCAATTCCCGGACCGTCCGTGGGCTGGATCTAGAAGGCAATTGGGCCTGATCTGGCCCGCGGACCTTAGTTTGTCGACCCATGTTTTAAAGGCTCCAGAATGCTTTCCACCTTTTCCAGTTCATATATGGGTTGAAATAATACCTTCAAAATGATGTTTTGTAGTTTAATACTTACTGTTACTAAGGGAGGTGCAAAGTCTTGCTCAAAAAATGCGTTTTCAAGCACTTAGTTGTATATTCTGTTTATAATTACAGAAAGTTGCCAGCCCACCTACACTTGGACTCCAAGTAGTACTCCTCTGAGGCAACTCCTGTTCCACCTATTCTCCTTTCCTCAGAAATAGTTGATCTCACCTGATGAAATTAGAAAAGCATTTGAAACAAACCTGCAGAATAAAATAAAAATTATATTTCATTTAAAAGAACCTCTGCTGCTAGATGGCAAATTCAGCTGTTGTTGCAAGTGTGATCAGGTCATATGCTATCTGACCAGTGTATAAAAGCAGGTGTCTACAAATACCATCACCACAGTTGCCATGGTTATTGTAGAAGAAGCTATTGTATTTTGCCCTTTTGTTCTTTTAACTGTCGGCATTTCCCATTTTAAGCAGACAATATAGGCTGCTGCTGCTGCTGCTGCTGCTGTTGCCGCTGTTGCTGCTGCTGTGCCTTCCATCCTGTCTCATAAGTGGCTGACCAGAAGCACACAGCATAATTTTTAAACTTCCTTTCTACTTCCCTTATTCCATTTAGTTCCTGCTTCCATATATACCCTTATCTGTTCCTTTTCACTGGTATAAAGGCAGGGCTGGCTCAGGATGCTTGGCCACTTGAGGCAAAACTTAAAATGATGCTCTGCTGCCACAGCTCCCCACTGCCACCACATCTGCAGCTGCTGCCCCTGTCTGAGCCAGCTGGAGGTGGCCTGAGAGTAAAAGGAGGCTGGAGAGGGGTGGGCAGCGGCAGGCAGTGCATGATGGTGGGAATGGGTAGCATGTTGTGCTCAGTGGAGGTGGCCAACAAGTGCAGGAGGTGGCGAGCAGCACACTCCTTGGAGGCCAGATCTACCATCCTTCCCAGCTGTCCGCAACCTGCTGTTTGAGGTGATGGCCTTACTGTGCCTCTTGGGCAGGCTGTCCCTGATCAAGTGTTATAGTGCAGGGTCGAGAGATGGTTGGCCAAATAATATCTCTCTCTCTCTCTCTCTCTCTCTCTGTCTCTGTGTGTGTACACACACACACATATATATGGGCAATAGCTCAATGGTAGAGCATATACATTGCTTTTAGAAGGTCTCTGGTTCAATCCACAGCATTTCCATTTAGTAAGGTTCTCAGGTAGATGCTGCTGAAAAAGACAATTGTCTAAAATCTTGGCAAGCTACTGTCATCAACAGAACTGGAATAAATGGACAAGAGGTCAGACTCAGTGTAGATCCAATCTCATTCATTCATATGAGGCTTGTTGTTTCTGAATGGTGTGACAGTACTGTTAATGCTGTGACCTCTGCTTATGTGGCAAATGTTATTTTTAAAAATAGTTTCACACACACATTTAAAGGCTAACCTTTTCCCCTAGGAGATGATAGAAGACTTCCCCGGAGGTATGAAGACTGTCAAACACCAGGTGAGTAGATGAAGACTTGCTTATATGTCTAGTATTGCAAAGCAGTTCTTAACTACAGTTAGGCTCCATCAGCAATTTAATAAGAATCAGCGCATGAATGTTAGAATAGCAGATAAATTAAATGTAAAAGAAAGCAACATTACAGTATGATATTAATCAGTTATTTGGGTAGGGCTGTCCATAGCTGCAGCCGTTGTTACCACAGCTGTGACATTACCAAAATAAACCCTCTTCACCTCTGCTTCATTTGGGTGAAAGTCTCTATCAAGAATCTAAAGGAAGCAGGAAGGAATTTGGGAAGGGAAACTAAATTGGAGCAGAGAGCTGTGTATCAGATTCTTTGATGGGACAATTTTTGTTCCTTTCTCCCCTATCAGTTCTGGAACCAGTGAATCTTTCATTATAGGAGTGCTTTTGGACATGTTTACTTAAGCGTGTTTACTCAAAAATAAGTCCCACTGAGTTCATTGGGGGTTATTTCAAGTAATGTGCATATGGTTGCAGTCTGAATAGACATAGACTCATATATGAGAATCATATTAGCTGACAGCATTTATTTATTTATTTATTTATTTGTTTGTTTGATTGATTGATTGATTGATTGATTGATTAACTCAAAATATTTTCCCTGCTCTTCAGCTGACTCCAGAATGGCTTATGTAAGATGAATAGAAACAAAAGCAAATAATTGCTTTCTATGTGTTATATTAAACAATGTATGTAGCTATTTCCGGCGAGTGCTTCTAGCATCTTATTACGAAGCAGAATCTCATTGTCTTACTCTCAGTGCAAACACAATTGCAGCGGCTGGTTCTTTCGCTAAACAGCTTCAGTTTTCAAAATAAGCTCCTACAAGGAAGCTACTTGCAACATTGTGATGCGTATCTGGTCTTTCATATCAGGACCCAACTTGGATGCAAGATTAGAAAGCAAAAATGGTAATGCAACACAATACCTGCAAATCTGTGATAGCATTAGCACAAACAGACTTCTTAAACAGAAAGCCAAAAAAAGGAGGAGAGGGGAAGCAAGGCAGTGGCAAACAGGTAAAATTACTTTCTTGGCTAGAATTTACCTACTTACCTGTAGCTTTTAACATTATTAAATTAGAATAAAAAAGAGTAGTTATTGCCACATTCTTACATCATTAGTAGGGTGGTTTGTTTAAAGAGAAAACTACAATAAAATTTTGTCCAATTTTCTCTTATTTTATTATCTGCACTGTCAGAAGAGTATTTCCTGACTTATTTATACTGCAATTTCATGTAGTATTCATGTAGTAGCTAAGTTCTTGTTACATTAACATAGTAGGAGGGACATGGGTTGAAAATGGCAAAAAGATAATTTATAAGATATTGTTCTTTAGTGTGTTGCATTGTGGGTTTGTACACATAAAACAGCTAGCAGAAATTGTAATTTGAAATCTTTTACCGATCAGCAAGAGGAAAAGAATCCCCACCCAGGTTCATTTTGTTTGCAGAATTTATATAGAAATAAGACTATGATGTAGTCCTTGTGGTGCATTGTCACCTGCACAGCAGTAGAGAATATTCTCATAATTCAGCCACTTACCATTTACAGTTTTCTGTCTGAAAACAAAAATAAAAAAGTATTAGGGAATAAAAATATCCAAAGAAAATGACTGAATTTTGCAGTAGAGGTCCTTTTTTATTCCAGCCAGTGTGAAATACTGGAGTAAAAGTTTTCAAACAAAAACTATCCAGGAAAACTGATATAAGTACAGTACACATACCGTGTGTGTGTGTGTGTTTCCAAACACCAGGGGGAATAAAATATCCCATATTTGGAAGCTTTTTGTTCCTGCTAACCTAAAGTGTTGGGGTAAAACTGTCCCATGCCATTTTTCAAACAAAAACTGATTCATGGAAGCCTGACACCATATATGTTTTTGTTTTGGAACTACCCTGAGGTACATTGGAACTTGGCTTGGGATAGTAAATTGTCTCTCATAGCAATCCATATATAATAGTTGCTTTCTGGTATTGGATGAGGAGTTGTTAGCCAAAATACCATTGACAAGTGTTTTGAACTTGTCACACTAGAAAGTTGCTAAGTTGCTAAACTGAAAAGACTGTAAGAGGAAGGTCTGGCCTTGTATGCCTCTTCTTTGAGGCTGCATAACGATTTGCAGTGTTAGAGTAGAGATTTTGGAGAGAGTAAAAAGGAGGCATTCCAATAATGTGCTGAAACTGGATCCATAGAATCCATCCCCCTCCCACTGCACTGACATGTCCCCAGAATTGGGGGGAAACTATGCTAACCCTGTAGCTGGCATTGTTTATTTCCCTCCATTTGGAATACAGTGGAACCTTGGTTGTCGAACGCTTTGGAAGTCGAACATTTAGGCTTTTTAACACCGACAACCTGGAAGTGAATGCTTCTGTTTTCTAACGTGCCTCGGAAGTCAAATGGCTTCCGAGGCTTGTTTCTCCATTTTTTCAATGGATTTTGCCGACCTCCCATTGCGCGTCGGTTGTCTAACGTTTCGGAAGTCGAATGGTCTTCTAGAACGGATTACGTTCGGCAACCAAGGTTCCACTGTAAATGGGAAGGTAACTTTTTAAAAGAAATAAAAAATGATAACAGGAAAGGAAAAATTTATAAAAGGCAAAATGCAGCCCTGCCCTCCTCCACACTTTTTGCCCTGCTGGCCTGAGCCTGGTGGGTCATAGGAAAAGTTGTTAATCTGCCTTTAGTTCTCTCTCCACTCCCACTTTTGGATTGCTCTGCTCACTATTTTTTATGATATTGTGTTGTGTTTGACTGATGTCAGAATTATTCTTTTTCTTGTTACAATTTATTTCATGATATTTTATGTTTATTTAAAACAGCTGTTATAATAGGTCCTGATGGACAGCCCTTAACTGTCTACCCTTGTCATATATGTGGGAAAAAATTTAAATCCAGGGGATTCTTGAAAAGGCATATGAAAAACCACCCAGATCACATGATTAAGAAGAAGTACCAATGCACAGATTGTGATTTTACAACTAACAAGAAAGTAAGCTTTCATAATCATTTGGAAAGCCATAAGCTTATCAACAGAGCTGACAAAACGCACGAATTCACAGAGTACACCAGGCGATACAGTGAAGCAAGCCCACTGAGTTCAAATAAATTGATCTTAAGAGATAAGGAACCTAAATTGCACAAGTGCAAATATTGTGACTATGAGACTGCAGAGCAAGGACTGCTTAATAGACATCTGCTTGCGGTCCACAGCAAGAACTTCCCTCATGTTTGTGTTGAGTGTGGAAAAGGTTTCCGACATCCTTCTGAGCTCAAAAAGCATATGAGGACCCACACAGGGGAGAAGCCTTACCAGTGCCAGCATTGTGTCTTCCGTTGTGCTGATCAGTCCAATCTGAAGACACACATCAAAACCAAGCATGGTACTGACCTGCCCTTTAAGTGTGAACATTGTCCACAGACATTCACAGATGAGAAAGAACTCCAGCAGCACACAGAGTTGTTTCAAGGACATAAGACTCATCTGTGCCCACATTGTGACCACAAGAGCACCAACTCGAGTGACCTGAAACGACATATAATATCTGTTCACACAAAGGACTTTCCTCACAAATGTGAGGTGTGTGAAAAAGGTTTCCATCGTCCATCAGAGCTCAAAAAGCACAGTGAAACACATAAAGGTAAAAAGATACATCAGTGTAGGCACTGTAACTTTAAGACTTCAGATCCTTTTGTACTTAGTGGACATATCCTCTCAGTTCACACTAAGGACCTGCCTTTCAAATGCAAAAGATGCAAGAAAGGATTTAGGCAACACACTGAACTGAAGAAGCATATGAAGACCCACAGTGGAAGAAAAGTCTACCAATGCCAATATTGTGAGTACAGCACTACAGATGCATCAGGCTTCAAGCGGCATGTCATATCAATACACACAAAAGACTATCCGCACAGGTGTGAGTACTGCAAAAAGGGATTCCGTAGACCATCAGAGAAAAAGCAGCATATAATGAGGCATCACAAAGAGGCCTTAATATAATATATGAGCTATAGAAGAAAGCAGTTTAGAAACTGTGACATCATAATTGGGGAACAAAATTCTCATGAACTGTTTCTCCTCTTTTCAAAGTTTGATATTAAATCATAACTTTACATTATTTGTATTATAAGTCTTTTAAATTATTAGGGTTTGACAGGGGATCTCATAGCTCTATGATAGTTGCTCATCAGAACCTAAAGAACACTGTAAAATGCAAAGAGATGAACGTTTGAAAAGATGTAGAAAGAGACTGAATGTATTCTGTTTCAAGTATTATACATAACTAAGCTAAAGAAAATATTTTAAGTCAATTATCTTAGCCCTTTACCAATAATGCAATTTAAATCCTTAATGAAAATCAGGGATGGAGTTCTTTAAAAATGTATGTTAAGGCAAATCTAACATCATGCATTTTTTGAACAGTGACACTATATAGAAGTCAGTACTTTGTCATTACATTTTTAAATTGTGCTGGGAAATAGTATTCAGGAATTAAGTCAAATTTTGAGATCTGTCTTTTTTCATTTTTAAAGCAAACACACATTTCATCAGGAAACATTGTTTCTGTTATTTATTTAAGACCAATGAGCAATATTTAAATGTTTCCCCAGAACTGCTAGCCATCCTTCTAGCATTTTATTGTAGGATGTGATGTTAAAAATACAACATTGTTTTTGAGCTCAAAAGGTATTGTTTGGTGCTAAGGTTAAAGATGTGTATGTATATAATTTCCCTTCTTACGTGAAAAATGCAGTCGAATGTTCAGTATGGCACATATAACAAAAAGTACCTTTTGACCAACATAATTATTATAAAATTATTGTTATTATTTTAAAAAAGGAAAACAAATAGATGCGGCTGTTGGTGCTAAGGTTTCACACTTCTTTTTTTTGTTTCCTTATTATATTCCCTAAAAAATAATAAACAAAATGAATATCAATACTGCAGTAGTTAGAAATACCTAGAGAATTTTATGGGGCAATGTTCCTGGCAAGGTAGGACTACTGTGGTGTTTTCGTGCTAATAAAAAATGTTTCAGTATAGAAATGAAAGTTGCACCTTTTAATCAATTCATGTGAAACATAACATATTATAAACATGCGTTTTCAATCTGTAATAAAGTTATATATGCAGTAGTTAACCAGGACATTATGCTACCGCTGGAGTTTGGAGGTGGATCTTCAGTTTACAGTGTATACATTTGAAATATGCATCCCTTTATACAATGCTTTGTGTTAGCATGGTACAAATCAAAATGGCGCTTAGTATAACAAGCTGGTCTAGGACAATTTAATAACTAAAAACTTCATAAATGTTATGCATATAATGTGTACTTTTAAAAATCTTTTTTAAGTTGCTTCATGTTTTTACACAGCTGTTCACATGATAAATTGTAACTTTACTTCATGCTACTATTTTATGGCTTTGTGTTTCAGAAAATATTCATACTTGGTTTTTCCATCAGAATCCGTTCCTTGAGAACCAATTTCTTTTATATTTCTAAACTTCAGAAAGTTAAGTTTGGGAAACCTTAGAAAGCTACTTGTGTTTTATGTGGCTGTAAAAAAAATGATGTACACTCTGTAAAATAAGATTGTCACTGTTATGCAAGATTATTATTACTCATTGTAATGAGCATACAATAAAATCCATCTCTTGCACTTCAGGCATGCATTGCTCACTCATCATTTATTTCATAATTTAATTGTTTGATAGCCTGGTCATTATTTTTGAGAACTTACTGTAAATTGCAATCACAGTAAGTAAAGAGGAGAAATAATAGTGTCTTTAATTTTTCTCAGTTAAATGCGCAGAAATTTAACTTCCATTTAGAGAAAAAGGTTTGTAGAATGGTTTTTTTTCCATTTAACTGGTCATGTGTGATTGCCTGGCATTTTTGTGTTCATATTCAGCTTTTCCTTCTTCTGTGTTCTCTTCAGTGAACCAATATTAGTCATTTGCAGTAGTTCAATGAGAGTTGTAACAGTAACATTTAAAGTAGACAAAAAGTAAATGTAGTCTGGTTTGAAATTCATTTTAAGCTTCAGGAGATTTAGCATCTACTTACAGTGTGGGGCACGTATAGTGCAGGACCTTAGTTTCCTATTCTGTGGTCCAATCCCTAGCTGCATATGGGGTGAATGGTGGTGCTTTAATGCTTCTGGGTGAGCAGGTAGCAGGGAGTGGTTGAGATGCTGCCCTAATTCCAGTGGTTGTGGGCAGGCAAGGGCACAGTTGTAGTGGTGGAGGCTGAACAACATTGGGGGTGGAGGCTTAGTTGCTTGGTCTCAATTACTTGTTCCAGCTCTTTCACTCCACCATAAGTTATTGGTAGAATATCTGCTGAGCCCCCTGGTCTGGTGCTTCTGTTGCTGAATGCCAGATCAGTCCATACTCATCCATGACTTGATTGTGGTTGAGCAGGTTGATCTGCCTTGCATTACCGAGACTTCGGTGAGAAGGCTGGGTGGGCCTGACTTTACCCAGCTGTGCCCACCTGGGTTTTCAGTACTGTACCAGGCTAGGCAAGGGGTTTGAGGCAGGTGTTGAGATAAACTTAGAGCAGGGCTTCCCAAACTTGGGTCTCCAGCTGTTTTTGGACTACAACTCCAATAATAAAAATAAAAATAAAAACAACAACTTTTATTTATATCCCACCCTCCCCGGCCAAAGTCGGGCTCATCATCAGATATATAACATTAGTATAAAATCAAACAATAATTAAATTACCTCCTAAAAACAGGTCAAAATCAAACTAAAGTCTAATTAGATGGTTTTCTGCAGGGTTGGGAACAATAAGTGCTCATTGGCCCAGCTGTTTACGCTGATCTTATATGGGCCTGTGAGAATGCTGGGAGGCCTCTTTCATATTAGTTCTTATACAAAAAGAAAAGAGTCAGGCTGAGCCCTGACCAAAGGCCTGGTGGAACAACTCTGTCTTGCAGGCCCTGCGGAAAGATGTCAAATCCCGCAAGGCCCTGATCTCTTGTGGCAGAGCATTCTACCAGGCTGAGGCCAAGGCCGAAAAGGCCCTGGCCCTGGTCGAGTCCAGCCTAATCTCTCTGAGGCCCAGGATCTCCAAGATGTTATTATTTGCAGACCATAAGGTCCTCCGTGGGGCGTACCAGGAGAGGCGGTCCCGTAGGTACGAGGGTCCTAGGCTGTATAAGGCTTTAAAGGTTAAAACCAGCACCTTAAACTGGATCCTGTATTCCACCGGTATAGCACTGGATGAATGTGATCTTGCGGCAAGGACCCCGTAAGGAGTCTTGCCACGGTATTCTGCACCTGGTGAAGTTTCTGGGTCAGTTTCGAGGGCAGCCCCACGTAGAGTGAGTTACAATAATCAAGCCTGGAGGTGACCGTCGCATGGATCACAGTGGAGAGATCAGGGCGAGAGAGGTAAGGGACCAACTGCTTAGCATGACGGAGCTGGAAAAATGCTGCCTTTGTTGTAGCTACAACCTGCGCCTCCATGGAAAGGGAGGTGTCGAGGATTACACCCAAACTCTTGACAGAAGGTGCTGGCACTAATTGTGCCCTCGCAAGAGATGGGAGTTGGCCCTCCAACCCCATATTGTCCCGACCCAGCATACTTCGACCCCAACCTCTGTCTTTGAAGGATTTAGCTTCAACTGGCTCGCACGCAGCCCTCCAGCCACAGCTTCCAAACATCTGACCAGTGTGTCTGGGGCAGAGTCAGGTTGGCCATCCATCAGCAGATAAGAGTTGGGTGTCATCAGCATACTGATGGCAGCCCAGACTAAAGCTCTGGACAAGCTTGGCGAGGGGACGCATAAAGATGTTAAAAAATTTCAACTCTACTGCTGTTGGCCATCCAAAAGCAACAAAACATGTTTGGACCCGCCCAAAGATGCCACTGGCATGGGCCCACACAAATCTGCATGGACTGGCTCAAAGGCCTGCTAGTCTTTTGACTCGATCTGGGATATGAGCATGTGGATACCTTGGATTGCTTGCAGGCTCTGCAGTCTAGGAACTTGTCATATCCCTTAAACTTGCACCCCTCAGTACACTCTGGGGCCTTCTTGATATATAACCAACCTGTATGCGCAAATCTGCGGTGCCAGAGATGAAAACAATCATTGTGTGGTGGCACGTTTGCGCACTGCACCTGTGTTACCTCAGGGGGGGTCATCAACAGCAATAGGCATCTCAACCACGAACAGCCTATTCTTGCACTCAACACTGTACAGCTTCTTCCCATCCCTGGAAAAAGAACACATGTTATTTGCAAACGTTACACTGAAACCATCAGCGACAAGAGCAGACATGGATAAAAGACAGTTGGCAATTTCTGGAACCACAAAAGCCTGGACTTCATGGTCTAGGAAAGAACAACATAACATGCCAGACTCAGTTAAAAGTCTTTTGCTCCCATCAGCCAGCGACACAAAATGTCCACTTTTCACAGACTTGCCGTTCCGAAGAAGCCCACTTGATGGCACTAGGGTATGAGTCGCTCCAGTATCGACGACAAAAGAGAGACTAGCTGGTTGTTTACATTCCTCCAGGGTTGCCATGGATGCAGCTAGGTGGAAAAGAGATGTTTTCTCCTTGCCTTTCTCACTCCGGCCTTTGGCTCTCCCACTCCGCTGTGCCTGAGAACCGTCTCGAGAACCGCCTCTTATCTGCTTCCCCTGCATTCCTTTTCGGCCGTCCTTGGAGTCTTGGGCCTCTAGTGGACAGTTTCTCACGAGGTGTGACGTCGACTCACAGCGAAAACAACTCTTGGAGACTTTGGCTTTTACAGAGCTCTCACAGCTTCTGCTGCCTGCACCCCCACTCCTGGGTGCACAGCTTCCAGAGGAACAGCCTGCAACTGTTTTCCTCTCAGCTCTCTGCCTCTCTCCCTGTCCATCACACAGATGTGTTGAAGCATAGAAACAGCTTCCAGGAACGTTGCTTTCAGCCCTCACTAGGCTCACGGCCCCCTTTCGGTCTTTGGCTCCCACTGTGGCTTCACACGCCCTCTGCAG